ACATTGAAAAATGAAAAACAAATTATTATTAGTTTTTTTCACGGAATTTTAAGATTTAACGAAAGCCACCGTTCATTCAAAAACGCACATACAATCATTTTATTACTTTCTTCTTTTTTTCCTGAAAGATTATTTTTGCTTATTCAAATTAACTATTTTTTCATTTCGTTATCGGAACATTTAGAAACCTATTAAAAATCTGATTTATGTTAACTCGGCGATAATCCTGATTTCGTGTTGTGATGGGATACAAGAAGATGATTTAAGTTCTATTTTTAACTTAAACATCTTTCGACAAAGTCAATTTTGAAATGTTTTAAACATTCAAAGAGTTAAAATTTGGTTTCCACCAATAGAAGATTTAGTTTAGGAGTTTGAAGACAGATTACCGGATCCAAGACTAGAGATGGTCATAGTTTTTTCAACGAACCAATTTTTTTGTGAAAAAGAATGTTGTTTAGAAAAAATGAACAATGGACGAAATATATGGATTGTTCTGTATTCAGGGAAATGAAAAATTATTGTTTATAAAAAAGAACGAAATAAAAGATCGATTTAAAATAAATGTTTTTAAAAAAGAACGAAATAAAAGATCGATTTAAAATACTTTGAACGAACTTAAAAAAATTACCGCGTTTTTTTAATGAAAAACAATAATTTTTTGGAAAATAAACTTTTTTTTATATAGTTACTGAAGAAACGATTTTTAAGACCAAATAAAAAAAAATATTGTTTTTTTAATTACCGAACAAACGATTTTATTAAACTAATCATTTTTCTGAACGATCATTCAGAGAAAAAACGAACGACATAGATGGAAACTGAACGATAGTTTTGAGAACGAACCAAATAAATTTATTTTAAAAAGTGGAACTTGCCCATCTATTCAAGACCACTTTATTTACTCAGTCTTTACACTTTTAAATTGATTTCCCGGACACTGTCCTGCTTTTCATACATATTCAACCAACTATACATACAAACATAAACTTATCTTTAAAAACTAGTGTGCAGACTGACCAAACTACGCTTGGCCAGAGTACAGACTGACCAAACTACGCTTGGCCAGTGTACAGACTGACCAAACTACGCTTGACCAGTGTACAGACTAACCAAACTACGCTTGACCAGTGTACAGACTGACCAAACTAAGCTTGACCAGTGTACAGACTGACCAAACTACGCTTGACCAGTGTACAGACTGACCAAACTACGCTTGGCCAGTGTGCAGACTGACCAAACTACGCTTGACCAGTGTGCAAACTGACCAAACTCCGCTTGACCAGTGTACAGACTGACCAAACTCCGCTTGACCAGTGTGCAGACTGACCAAACTATGCTTGACCAGCATGCAGACTGACCAAACTACGCTTGACCTGTGCGCAGACTGACCAAACTACACTTGAACAGTGTACTGACTGACCAAACTACGCTTGACCAGTGTACAGACTGACCAAACTCCGCTTGACCAGTGCGCAGACTGACCAAACTCCGCTTGACCAGTGTACAGACTGACCAAACTTCGCTTGACCAGTGTGCAGACTGACCAAACTTCGCTTGAACAGTGTGCAGACTGACCAAACTACGCTTAACCAGTGTGCAGACTGACCAAACTACGCTTGAACAGAACTACGCTTGACCAGTGTACAGACTGACCAAACTCCGCATGACCAGTGTGCAGACTGACCAAACTACGCTTGAACAGTGTACTGACTGACAAAACTCCGCTTGACCAGTGTGAAGACTGACCAAACTACTAGTTTTTAATTAAATAAAACCAAAGTTGATGAACTTTGAACAAAATTCTTCATATCTTTGGTAATATTAAAAGCCCAAAAAGGCAGACCCACATTTGGGAAATGCCGGAATATGGCCGGTTATTTTGTGATTATTTAAATAACTTGGAAATAGAACCATCAAAAACGAAATTATAAAGAGAAAACGTTTTTTGTTTGAATTAAATATCGAGTCTGAAACATGGGAATATATTCTTTTTTAAATAGTTGAGAGGAATACGTTTTCTGACTGAGATAAAACAAAGATGTAAATGTTAGGATTACAGTCTCATTGAGCTTGATAGTAGGGATTTCACCAAAACAAAAGAAATATTCTTAATATTTTGGAAAATTCTTAATATTTCTGAAAATTCTTCAAAACATTACAGTTTACATATGGCATACAAAGAGATTAGAATATATATTAGAGTGGAATTTAGAAATCCCGCGGTATAAATTTTGTCAGTCCCTTTCAGCCTGAAAGGGAGTTCAAAGTGTACAAATCATGTAAATGTTCACAAATTATATGAAGTAGTTTACACTAATACAGTATAGTCCCTAAACTATCCATTCCAATTTCGAATTTTTTAAAGCTGTTAAATAAACTTTATAAAATGAATTAGGTGAATAAAAACATCATTTGATTTATAGTTATAACGGAAAATCATCATTTGTAAAATGAAAGGCATAGAGTCTACGTGAAATGATAATTGGTCAATTATGAAACCAGCCTCTTTCATAATTTGGTTTTCTTTTAATACTAATTTTAGATTTTCTATAAAATGATGTTCAAGGGCCCAAAAGGTTATATAGCACAAATATGTGAAGTAAACCTGCAGTATGGAAACAGTGCAACAAAATGGCGGTTTTACACTTTTTTCTAGTAAATACCATTCTAATATATATTCTATTCTCTTTGGTTGCATGTACCAAACAGAAATAAGTTACAACATAAGTGACACAACATTTTTATGACTGTATATCTGATTCTAATGTACGGAAAATATTGTCTCCTAAGATAGATAAAAACCTCATATGACGTCACGGATTATTGCTGCGAGAGTGACGTCATATGAGGTTTTTATCTATTTATCTTTGGAGGCGATATTTTCCGTACATTGGAGCGCATTGAGAGTAACCAAACCAAACCAAACAACCCGTGTTTCAAAGAGTGGAGTTTATAATTGAGATATACCAATTTACATTTTCAGTAGCTGAGTACTCAAAATACAGTAAACTTCTTAATGTTTCCTTCTTGTATACTGTACAGTTATAATGTACGTATCTATGTGTACAGTGTTCAGTATATACTGTACAGTTCTAATGTATCTAGGTGTACAGTGTTCAGTGTATACTGTACAGTTCTAATGTATCTAGGTGTACAGTGTTCAGTTATACTGTACAGTTATAATGTACATATCTATGTGTACAGTGTTCAGTGTATACTGTACAGTTCTAATGTATCTAGGTGTACAGTGTTCAGTTATACTGTACAGTTATAATGTACATATCTATGTGTACAGTGTTCAGTGTATACTGTAAAGTTCTAATGTATCTAGGTGTACAGTGTTCAGTGTATACTGTACAGTTCTAATGTATCTAGGTGTACAGTGTTTAGTATATACTCTACAGTTCTAATATATCTAGGTGTACAGTGTTCAGTTATACTGTACAGTTCTAATGTACATATCTATGTGTACAGTGTTCAGTGTATACTGTACAGTTCTAATGTATCTAGGTGTACAGTGTTCAGTGTATACTGTACAGTTCTAATGTATCTAGGTGTACAGTGTTCAGTTATACTGTACAGTTATAATGTACATATCTATGTGTACAGTGTTCAGTGTATATACAGGACGTTACAAAAGTAAAAAAAAGGCCTTTTTGGGGTGAAAAGCTTGTTAAAAACTCTAGTGCATAACAGAAATTGAGAAATTTTTTCAATTTGAAATTTGACGTTTTTTGTCGTAAGAAACAGCTTTAAAAGAATAAACCATGGTAAACTTATGCATAAAAATTAAGATTTTTCGTTTTGGTGTTTTAAAATTGAAAGCTAGGATCATGTCTTCCAAAATTAACCCTATCTCTGCTGGGGTACTTGAAAACCAGGATATGCTGGGGGGGGGGTTTGCCCCCCCCTCTAAATCCCATGTTTTATGTCCAAATATGACAAATGATACATCATTAAAAAGCTCTTGTGCTTTACTTTTAGAATCTGCCAAAAAAATGCAAATTTGCAAAAATTGAATTTTTTAACGCAAAATCCAGTTATATAGTAAATGTTTGCAAACAAAAATTTTTCCAAAAAATGAAAAATTATACATTTTTGAAAAGCCCTTGACCATGCCATTTCAATTATGCAAAACAAAAAAATTTTGCAAAATTTTAAATAGCCTGATTTTAATCAAGAAAAACTAAAAATGCGCAAACTTCCTTTGACAGGTTATTTGCAAAAAATTTGCAATTTTATTCTCGCAAAACTTGTGCAATTCGTTTCCTTATGTCAAAGGCTTTCCAAAAAGCTAAATTTCATCAAAATCTGACAAGTGGAAGTGGGTCAAAACAAAGATTTAGTTTGATACAGGAAAAAGCAGTCATTCAGGCATATAGTACTAAGGCAGTTAGTATTAAAGCCCGGTTTTAGGCCTAAAGGGAGGGCTTTGGGTATGTAGGAAAAGTCAGAAAATTTCAACAGCCTCAGACCAATACTTTTTGAATTATGTAAAAAAAACTACAGAGGGTCAAATTGACCCCCTCCCCAGCAGGAATAGGGTTAAACAACGAACAAACAATGATATTGCAATCTGCAAATTTTAATGTCATTCGAAAATATAGATTTTACATGAAAATGTACATGCATTCCTTCAAATATTTGAAATAAAAACATGGCATTTGTGAATTTTTTATTTAAGATTAATCTTTGGGACAGGGAATGGTGGGGGTTGGACCGCAATTTAGAGCTTATATAAACGATCTAATATAATTTGGGACACCCTCTAAGTTTTCCATAAGCTTAAAAGATCAAAACTGATCCAAAATAAATCATAGATATATCAATTTAGCATAGAAATGAATATCCAGCCATTCGCTATGGTTAAAAACCTATTGAAAAAACATGTGATGTGGTTTTACTAGAATTCGATTTGGTCAAAATATGCAACTATTTTCATATTATTTAAATCATAGATTTAGTAAAATCTACACCTCTCAACGTTAGCGGCGACAAATCTTTGCACAATATATTTTGTACATATATAATAAACATTTATAAACTTTTGATAACAAATCACATATAATTTGGATTAATTTTAATATTTATATTTCTTACGGATGGGTTTAGTATCTTTCCTTTGAATTGTTTTCGCTCGAAATCACTGAACGTGTCTGTGTCTTCATCTGGAGAATAAATTTTGTAATCATCTTCTTTAAATGCCTCATTATTGGTGTACTCATCACCGTGCAACAGATATTGAGAGTCCGGCGTGCCGGTACATGACCGCAGGAATCTCCCATCAGATATGCCTGGCTCTGGCTCTGTGGAGTCTAATAACCGGGGTTTTCCCGCATTTTTCTGTCCTTGCCGCTCTAACTGGTTTGGTTTGGAAAGGAGAGATGAAGAAGTTAAAATTGGTGTTTCTCTTGATTTTTCAAGCAGATTAGTACTTAACCTGCAAAATGGAACATTAACAATTGGTAATTGATCTGCAGAGATTGAAATTAAACTTTTGAATGAGATATTTCATATTGACAAAACATGAACAAGATATCTTCTAGTGGGACTCTTTTAACTTAAAAATAGGTAAATAATTCGTCTAAATGAAAGATTGTTTTAAGCCCAATGTAAATTACAGAAAATAAGGATTAGTTCTTTCTGAAAAGATACATATATTCCAACCTTGGCATAAATTTATATCCATAAAAAACCATGTAAGTTGTACAATGTAATGTACATTTAGGATGTTTTCCAGCACATTAGTTCCAGAATTTAAAAAGTTTAAAAAGTACACTCACCGAATCTCCATTTCTTCGTCAGATGGCATTGACTCTCCCCGGTGCCTCCTGGTAATTCATTATCAAATATTGAATACTAGCCTTATAGGGCGCTTCGCGCCCATCTTCTAAATTAATTGTGAACATGTTCTCTTTGTGTACATCGTAAAACAAAACAAAAATAATTCGCGGATTTTCACAAAAAATTTCGTGAATTTTTAAAATTTTCAAAAATTTAATGAAGATCGAATTTTGATGGAGACAAATATTTAAAATTTTGATCATTCATAAACCTTCACTGTGGGCATGTGATGTCCCACAAAAAATGTGGGCCGTTTTGACGTTTATTGGATACAAACAAACAAACAGACAAACACAGAAACACTCAGACAAGCCAAATTTATATATAGATTTCACCAAGACAATAATCAATTCATAAATAGGTTAACTTTTAATTATGAAATGAACTAACCACTTGTTATGATCTTTTAAAAACCGAAAAACAAAACAACCATTTAATAGGTTTTTAAAAAACAATCGTTTTTGTTTTATGAAAAATAATTAAAATTTGTGTCCAGGAAAATAAGTTTGTTACTGTTGTCTTAAATGTTTGTTTTTTTATCAAGAGATATAACATGAATGTTTTCTGACCTTAGATCTAAGGGTTTCCTATAAAAGGTTGGTAACGATCGTCAATAATTGATCATGAATTCGTTAACAAAACAAACAACTTCATCGTTTTTTTTATGTAAAACCAATCTTTTCAAAAACAATCGTTTTTAATAACGACTGTTTCGTTTTTACGTTTTTAAAACAAAACGATCCATCCCTAGTCCCAACACAATTTTAAGTGGTCCTAAATTAAATGCATTACATACCCAATCATTAATATTATAACCCTGTAGCCCTTTTTTAAAAGTCACTTATACAGAGCACCGCAACTGAGAATGATCAATTTTTTTGGGAATGTAAAAAATGAAAATTAACAGATTTAAGCTTGGTACAAGGTTTAACAAGTACCATTGTGAATTAGGTATTTTACTTTTAAAGTCTGTAAATATTTGATGATATCCCTGGCTAGTATGAGCAGAAGGATGATGATGATTATGATGAGCAGTGTTGAAGTTACTCCCAGTATTATTCCTAGTGGAACCTCTGCTCTGTCTGCTTCCTCTACGCCATCTAATTGATCAATCAATTTATCAAATAATCAATTATAAAGCTAATCAATTAATTAACTAATTAATCAATCAATTGATTAATTAATCAATGAATTAATAAATTTATTAATTTATCAATTAATTAATCAATTAATCAATCAATTAATTAATCAATTAATTAATCAATTAATTAATCAATTAATTAATCAATTAATTAATCAATTAATCAATCAATTAATCAATTAATCAATTAATTAATTAATCAATTAATCAATTAATTAATTAATCAATTAATCAATTAATTAATTCATCAATTAATCAATTATTATTTATGATTTTGAATTTTAATGCATACCAGAAAATTTAAAGAAATTGTAATATGCCTGCACAATTGTCTTTTTTCTTGAAAATTGATATTGTAATATTGGCTTTGCCAAAACTTTTAAACATTTGCTTAAAATTGAAGAAAGAAATATATAAGAGCTCGGCTTTCAGAGCACTTTGCGCCCATTTTGTGGTAATAATTTTAAACAAATTTAAACAATCCTTGCTTTTTCTTTGAAATAGTAACACTAAAAATTTCGTGGATTTTTCTGTTAACATTGATGGATTTCTAAATTCTAAATAAGTCAACATTTTTTCAAGAAAAAATTTCTCAATTTCAATTTCAATTCAACTATCAAGAAACCTTCTCTTGGGACATGTCAGACAATCAGAAAAGTCAAATTTTTATATTAAAAATCAAAATTAAGGAATGTTTACAAAATCATATTTGTATTTCTAAAGTGTATTTGTAATAAAAAACGGTTTCCCCTCAAGTTAAATCCTACCAAATCTGAAAAAGTAAAACTGAAAACTAAAATTAATTTTTAAACTCCGGAATTCTTTGAAGTCTGATAACTTGAACAAAATTTCTTGGAATTCTTTTAAATTAATTGAAACAAAACCTCCCCGCTTTCTAAAGGATGAAAAATATTTCTGAAGTTTGGTTGCAGCGTTATTTTGGAAGAGTGGGGGTAGATAGGCATGTGGCAAATATACATTAAAAAATTATTATAGAAACAATTTTACCTACAGGTTACAGGATGTTTCTTTTGAGCAATTGAGCGAAAATGATATATTTTACTGTATATTTTTAATCATATTTTTGGGGTTCACCCCTTCCCCTATTTCATATTTGCACAGATATTTAAAATTAATATACAACCTTTTCGACAACACAAGCATTTGAAGCGGTATTTTGTGACACACATGCATACATTGGGGTTTTATATAAACAAAATTAATTATTGTTAAATTCTAAACCTGATAAAACTGCTGCTGCTAATTTTGAAGTACTACTTTCAATCTCAATCACACTGCTCCGTCCTAAACAAGAAAATTTAAATTTTTTGTTGTTGCAAATTTGCAATTTTTTAGTAGATTCTAAAATTAGAGGATAAGAGTCCTTTATTAGGTGAAAAAACATTTAGTTGATTTATCTCGATAAAAAAAACATTTTAGACAACATCAGTAACTTATCTTCTTAAAAAAAGAAGGAAATTAATTGTAAAAAAACACAGATTCATGAGAAACATTTTTTTTCAAAAACTATCGTTTAACAAAAACGATCATAAAAAAACGATCGTTTAACGTTTTTTAAAGTTAAAAGGGTGTGGTTCGTTTTAGATCGATTTAGAAATAACGAAAAACGGTTGGACTTCTGGATACAAATAATATTAATATAATTATAATTAATATTATATAATTAATATTAATATAAGAATGACAGGTTCTTTAAAGAGCCTTCTCATATTTTACAGTTTCTGACAACCATTAAATACAGATTTACTTAAATTCATAGTTCAAAATGTTTTTAGAATAAATTACCTTTTGCATTTGAGGAGTAGATGGTCATAGTTAGGTGCTGAGCAGGTTCTAATCTAGATAGATTGAAAGGTTTAGTAAATTAACACAATTTTTTTTGCAAAAATAGTTTTTTTTTCAAAAGACTTTTTTTGTGAGAACGATTTATAGATTCTGATTAAACAAATATAAAAATGACTTTATTAATATCCTGAGTTTTCTTAAACAATATTTTTAAATATCTTTATTTTTCAAACAAATACTTTTATTTAAATATTTTGGTTGGTTTAAAGTGATAATTCTTTTAAGTTAAAGTGTATTTTTAAAGTTTGTTTTAATCTTCTTTTATCCGTTTCATCAGGACAACTTGGCATCATTATAAAACATTTTGAAGAGAAAACATCAGACAACTTGTTTTTAGAAACCAAATTAGCTTCTTTTGTAATTTCCCAATATTCAGTATTCAGTCCTTAAACTAATTTATGTCCCAAAAATTTTGACCTGATCCCATTGGGATTGGGATTATATTGACCCCTGCGGATATCAGCTTTTTCTCTTAAAACAATGAAACAATAATTATTTTTGTGGATTTGAATTGCGATTTTATGGGAGTTTTAAGAAAATTAAACTTTTTCTGTAATTCTGAGCATCTATAATAAACCTTCCCTGGGGTCATGTGAGGCCACACACCAAATTTGAACCTGATCGGTTCAGACATTTATGACGTTTATTGGATACAAACGGACAGAAAAAGAGAGATAGACAAGTGCTTTTTTCTATATTTAGATCTAAAGATTAAGAACGTTATTTTGGGTTTGTTTTTGAAAAGGTCTAAAAAATAATTGTGTTAGGTATTTCTGACAAAATGTCATAGATTATTAGCAATACAGATAGAACATTATATCTTAGTATAGTTCTTTTGTTTGTTTACAATAGCCCTGAGGCAGAGGCCCAAAGGAGGGATGCGGATGGTCTTTCTCTCTGTCTTGCAAATGCAATTCAACGCTGCCTGCGTGGAACTTCTTAACGTACTTTATCTATATTACAATGGGCCTCTGTATTCATAACAAACATTGATAGCTGTTGAGATCGTGTCTATTGGTTTGGCATCGATAGATTACAAGCTTGTGTCCGTGTTGAAATAAATAGCTGACGAGATCGTTTCTATTGGTTTGGCATCGATAGATTACAAGCTTGTGTCTGTGTTGACATTGATAGCTGACTCCCATCCCCCTTCAAGCGATGTATTTAAAGTAATTTTTACGACTAATTTTTTATTTTTGTAATGTGTCAATTTCTGAAATGCACAATTAAAAACGGTTGAAGCTTTTTTAACATGACACAGATTGGGTGAAATGCGAATTGGATTTTATTTGCGCGCAATTGCGAGCCTTGTACTTCCCCGCAATTTTGCAATTCCGCGAAACGGAATTCCGATTAGAAACCCTAGAAACAGTGGGTAAAACATACTTTTGAAATAGCAGCACGTTGCTTAGGCAACTAAATTCGAAATCTAGAAACATTGCAAAAAATTTCAATCGGAAATTTTGCTCCCAATATTTACGTTTAAGAACTTAACTGCATGCACTATGCAGGCATTTAGCATTCAGATACACAGATTTAAGATATTTAAGATAACAGGATTTGACGATAAGGTTGGGAGGTGAAACAGGATTTGACGATAAGGTTGGGAGGTGAAACAGGATTTGACGATAAGGTTGGGAGGTGAAACAGGATTTGACGATAAGGTTGGGAGGTGAAACGTTCTTCACTTAAAAGTATCCTCCACAGAGGTAATCAATCAAAGATTGAAATTAAGTGTAACTCTGAATATTTAACTCACTAAAATCAAATTCAAATCTACAATTATTTATCAATCAATTATGAGTCCTTGGAAATAATTGCGTTTTATGGCAAAACATCACAATTGAAAAAAATTAATTTTCTGTAAAAAACAGAAAGATATCCCTTTGATCCTTGATCACTGATCAGTCAATATTTAAAATTACCTCTTTACAGTGAAGGCTGGTGCGCCAGTGTTGGATATATTCCTGATAAAATGTATTCCTCAATAAATTATTTTCAATAATTTTATCTCTCAAAAAAATACATTCTCAATAATAAAAAGTGAGGGATATGGGACGGGAGGAGCGGACAAGTAAAATGTTTGAATGATGAACGCTTAAAATTGACCATAACCTTTTTTAAATTGTAGAATTAGATGTCTGTCTCCACGACATATTCTATTGAAAAGGGAACCTGTAAATGTGTTACAATCTCTTTCTCAACCCTCCCTTTCTCTATTTTTTTTTTGCAAAATACTATAATTTTAACTTTTAGAGAAGTAATAATTTAATGAATTTGTGTAACAATTTTTTAAAATTTTAAAGTCTTTGATCAAGGAATATTAAATCAAATAGCTATTGCATTATAGCATTATTTGTTAAATTTTTTGTATTTCACTTTTTTACATTTTCCAACCTTTATTGCCTTTTTTAAAACCTACTTTTGACTTTAAACATGTGGGGGTGGGATACAAAAGCCCTTCCCCCCCGGGTTAGCTACACACATAAAGATTCATGGATTACTTTAAGCAGAGTAAACTAGTGCATTGAATAAAATGATTTAAATAATAAAAAATGTAATTTATAATCTACTACCTGAAGGGCACGACTTTGCCCGTGGAAAAAAAATAATAAAATTTAAGAGAAAAAAAATCATAGAATTTTTTAGCCTATGAAACCCCCTGGCCACCCATGAGTGTCCACAGAAAAGTTCAGCCCAATCGGTCCAGCCGTTTGGCCGGCTATACGCAACATGTATATAAATCTCTTGTTTTATTATATTAGTAAATGAAATAAATACAGGGGGGGGGGATGAAAATCTACATTCCGTAATAAATAGCTGGTTTTTCCTAAATGAATAAATTTCATTGAATCCCGCTAATAATCTTAACACTTGACGTGGATTTAACGGTTCTGTCAATATTTCAGAAAGCTGTAACTTTCGATCACAATTTGACCCATTAAACACATTTTTTAGTCTTTTGTCTAAAATACTTTTTGGTCAGCATATGCATTTTGAAGGAAAAAGTAAAGAATAAACAAATCCGTAAGGTAAAAGATTGTTGAATTATAGACCAAAACACGTTTGATTTCAAATAGAAAAAACCAAATATGCTGCTCACTCTGGTTAGTCCGGAGTGACTTAACATTATGTTAAAAACCATTTAAAACAGAAAACCAGCTTTGTACAATGAGTGTCATTTTCTCTCACTAGCTGAGAGAAAATAATAATTAGATCAGTTTTAATAGGTTGATTTTATCAAAAGAAAAGTTTTTTTTTAATGAAAAAAATTGAAGGTTTGACTATTGAGGTTCTATCCCTGATGAGAGTAAAAGGAGAACTGTTATAAACTTCCAGATGAAATACTTGATCTAAAACAGATACTCATTTTATACACAGATAAACAGATATACTCATTTTGTTACACAGATAAACAGATAATGAGAACAGAGATAAATATGCAGATAAACAGATAAACAGATAAACAGATAAACAGATACACTGATACACAGATACACAGATACACAGATAAACAGATGTACAGATTAACAGAAAACCATATAAACAGATACACAGATAAACAGATACACAGATACACAGATAATCAGTTTCACAGAGACACAGATAATCAGTTACACAGATACACAGATACACAGATAAACTGAAAACAGATATGCAGATACACAGATACACAGATAAACTTAAAACAGATAAACAGAAAAACAGGTAATAAACGAATTAACAAGCTGTTGAACATAACGACAAAAAAACTGACAGATAAACTGAAAACATATAAATATTTAATCAAATACAGACCCGATATTTGAATTGGCCGCTGTCTCAAAAAAAATGAGTTTAACGCTATTCTTGCTGGGGGTTTTATTCAATTTTTGGTAATTTGCAACTTTTTTGCAGATTCTAAAAGTATTGCATAAGAGCTTTCCAATGATGTATCATTTGTCATATTTGGACAGCGATAAAAAATTCAATTTTTGCAAATTTGCAATTTTTTTGCAGATTCTAAAAGTAGAGCACAAGAGCTTTCCAATGATGTATCATTTGTCATATTTGGACATCGAACATGGGATTTAGAGGGGGGGGGGGGCAAATTGACCCTCCCCCAGCATATCCTGGTTTTCAAGTACCCAAGCAGAGATAGGGTTAAAAGTAAAAATTGTAAAGATATTTTTTTTCAAATACATAAATACAATAGAGCTAGTATTTAGCCAGAAGCCATCCGTCAATATGTACTGATTTCCTTCAAGATTCCCCCTGGACATGTTGTGGGCCAGGGTTTTCAGGTCGGGTCCCATCACCTGAAGGGTGTTGGAAAAAAACCACCGCATTTATTTCTTTCAAAGGATAAATTATTATCTGATCATAATGAAATTAATGTCACTGGTTAGTTCTGCTGTGAATTACGACTTTATTTATCTTTATTTATCCTTGTGTCTTTCTTAAAAACTTAATACTATTTGACCAGGGTTTCTTAAAAACCAGCCAGTGACTTGATACTATTTGACCAGGGTTTCTTAAAAACCAGCCAGTGACTTGATACTATTTGACCAGGGTTTCTTAAAAACCAGCCAGTGACTTGATACTATTGACCGGGGTTTCTTAAAAACCAGCTAGTGACTTGATACTATTTGACCGGGGTTTCTTAAAAACCAGCCAGTGACTTGATACTATTTGACCAGGGTTTCTTAAAAACCAGCCAGTGACTTGATACTATTGACCGGGGTTTCTTAAAAACCAGCTAGTGACTTGATACTATTTGACCGGGGTTTCTTAAAAACCAGCCAGTGACTTAATACTATTTGACCAGGGTTTCTTAAAAACCAGCCAGTAAATTGATACAATTGACCGGGGTTTCTTAAAAACCAGCCAGTGACTTGATACTTTTTGACCGGGGTTTCTTAAAAACCAGCCAGTGACTTAATACTATTTGACCGGGGTTTCTTATAAACCAGACAGTGACTTAATACACTTAATACTATTTGACCAGGATTTACGATAAAAAAGAGATCAGATAAGGTACAGAAAATTCAAAATACATTTTAGAAAGCTGTTAATCTCAGCTTTCGTCAGAAGCCAAGAACAACTTTCTACTGTAAGTCTAGGGTTTAAACAGATGAACAGATAAACAGATAAATGGATACAAGGATAAACAGATGAAAACAAATCAACACGTCAACAGATAAAAAAATAAACAGATATTTACAGAAAAACAAATGAACATATGAACAGATAAACTGATGAACTGATGATAAGATAAACAGATAAACAGATGACAAAATTAACTAATACACAGATAAACTGATAAACAGATAAACAGATAAAAAGATAAACAAATTAACAGGTAAACAGATTAACAGATTAACAGATTAACAGATAACCAGTTAAACATATAAAAAGATAAAAAGATTAACAAATAAACTTATAAACAGATACACAGATAAACAGATAAACAGATAAACAGATAAACAGATAAACAGATAAACAGATAAACAGATAAACAAATAAACAAGTAAACAGATAAACAGATGAACAGATGAACAGATTAACAGATAAACAGATAATCAGATACACAGATAACCAGAAACACGTATAAACAGATACACAGACAAGCAGATACACAGATAAACAGATAAACAGATGAACAAATAAACAGATAAACAGATGAACAGTTAAACATATGATTTACCTAGCCCTCCATCCCAGGCAGGATTGCAAGAAATATCCATCCAAGAAACAGATTGATTTAAGATTTTACATTGAGTAGGAGGGTCTGGGATACCTAATAATGTTTTTGATTATTTCTCACGTCAAACTAAGTAAATTGCATGTTGCATTGTACTGCAGACTAAGTAAATTGCACGTTACATTGCACTGCAGACTATTTGTGAACTAAATTAAATTAAATAATAATAATAGACCTATTTCTACAGCAGTCCATGAGCAAGGTTTCTGCATTTCTCCAATACTGTTTATTGCAAAACATTCCAGGGTTCCCTCCGTCTCTATTGTGGATAAATCGAGGAACCCCTGAAAGAGAAAAAATAAATGAAAACTTATTAATGGCCAAAATGCTTAATTTTGCAATCACTCTTTGCAACAATTACTAAGGTAAAGTAAAACAGACGAAAAACAAAATCCGTTTTGGTACTGGTTTAAATTTCTTTTCCGATTGATCAAAATCCGCAAATTTACACGTTCTTTAAAATCGTTATTGCTAGGATGAAAAATGTGTACAGTAGGGTGTAAAATTTGAGTAGGAAGTTGCAAACTACTCCTTGATCCAGGGGCTGTTGAGCTTTAAAATCTTTGTATATCCGGGAACATAAGAAAGTGTAAATGGATTGCCTTAAGTAAAAGCATATTAGCAAACGCTGAAGTATTCCCGTTGTTTTTAGCTGTAGCATAATTGCCACAGCTGAGCTGGGAATTTATAATAGGATATACTTAATCCCGTTCGGTTAATTGATCTGTAGATTAATAACAAGAGGAGAACAGGCATTATTTAATCTGGAGATTAAGAAAAAAAGGAGATCAAACATTAATCCCGATATCCACCATTCAAAAGTTTCCAGGTCTGTTTAGTTATAGTATCATACGAATCTTGATTTGTATACCTCAGTTTGATTTAAGAGTTTAAATTCTTGTCCAGTAGTATTAATGGACCAGTAGTAGGACGAAGGTTGAGGATTAGAGTCTACGGAGCAGGTTAGGTTTCTCCGGGATCTAATTGGAACTAGATGAGATCCTTTGCTTCTACTACACCTCGGTGCATCTAGCAAAGAAAAAAACTATGTTTAAAAGTAAAAATTAAAAAAAATCTATTTTTCTTATCCTTAATTAATGTCCACCTGATGCCGTTGGATCCATTTTAATCATGGAATTTGGCAAGATGAAAAAGTTGAATTTACAAAAATTAAAATGCACACGTCACAGACCATCATGTTGAAAAGATAGGAATTAGAAAATTTAGAAAACTAGGCTTTTAGGGCGCTCAACTTCTATTTAAATTGTGAACATGTTCTTTTTGTTTACATTTTAAAACAAAGAAGAAAAAAATGTTGCGGATTAAAAAAAAAAAATTTGCGGATTTCCAAGAATCAAATTTTTTTACAAAATTAAATCCTTTAAAACACATCTTTTAAAATTCTTATCATTCATAAAACTTTTTTGTGGGACATCACGTGACCACAGGGAAGGTTTATGAATGATCAAAATTTCAAATATTTGTCTCCATCAAAATTCGATCTTCATTATTTTTTTGAAAATTTTGAAAATCCACGAAATTTTTTGTGAAAATCCGCGAATTATTTTTGTTTCGTTTTACGATGTACACAAAGAGAACATGTTCACAATTAATTAAGAAGATGGGCGCGAAGCGCCCTATAAGGCTAGTATCCTAATATTCCATAAAGATTATTTTTGGAAAAAATCCGCAAAACTGAATGTCGTAAATTCGCAATTTTACTTCTGGTTTAATTGTTTCAGCAAGGCTTTCCATGAATAGATGGAGGACATTTTAAATGAAATAATAATTTGAAATTTTAATAGCGTTATTTTATGGCTAGAACATTTTAGGATTTAATAGAATTAATCTACAATGATAACCAGAAAACTGTAGAATAGGAAGACGAAGAAGCAATTCTGAAGTGCATTTGATGTTGTTACAAAGCAGCAAATAGTTTGACTAGTAAGCTATTAAATCACTTATTCAGTGAAATTGGTCTGGTAACACTGCACAATTGTAGCATCTCATGTTAAATGGACTATTTAAAGTCATAACTTGAGTCTAAAAGTCGACTTTCAATTTCAGAGCTTTCTGGTATTAATAGCTGTTTTGATGTTTTTTCTTATTTTGAAAAAAAAGGAACTGAGTTTTTGCCACAAACTCAAACTTTCTAATCCTTATATCGTTGCAACCTTCATGTGTAAACCTTTGATAATTCAGCCTTAAATTATTTAATCTAACAGAATTTATAGTTTTAAATATTAAAGGTCTACGACATTGGGTTGCAACGATATTGAAGTTAGAAATTACAGAGTTTGTGGCAAAAACTCAATTTCTTTCTTTATATAACAGGAAAATTGCAATTTATGAAAATTTCACGAGCTATGTTTATGCCATGTAACTTCATAAAAGGATTGAGAGGAATTAATTAAGATGGGGAAGGGGGGGGGGAGGGTGTAATAAATATTTATTATCTGACATCTTCCCCTCTCTCCCCCCCCCTCCCCTCCTCCCGTGCATAATATATTTGTTTATAACTAGGGAATAAAATATGAATAAGTTATGAAGGGAGAGAGAAAATAATTTGATATAAATATGATAACAGAGGATTCACAGAGGATGCTTATAGAAAATGCCTTACTCCGATAAATACTTTTAGGTCAGTACCAATCTAGGTACAACTCATTCTCGAACTCCAGTTTCTCCAATAATACCTTGGTCAGTATCAATCCGGAAATGAGTCTATCAGTATTCTCAAGTATTTGTTTTAAAAGATACAATTCAATCTTGAACTAAAGGTTCCTCAGTTATTTCAAAGTCAATATCAATCCTGATATGACTTAGCCTGTATTCTCAGGTATCTGCCTTACAAGATACAATTCACTGTAATCTATATCTATCTTTCAAGAAAGTGATTCAGACCCCTTTCTTTTGCTAAATGAGGAACAATTTCTCTAACATTGTAATCAAAGCGGAGTATTATTCCAACTAACGTATATTTTGAGTTCTATGATACAGTTTACATTAATGAATGTAATTACAAGTTTTACATAGTTATATATAAGCGTATGTAAGCTTAATCACAATACAGGTTTGACATAGTTATTTACAATCCCATTGAGGTAATAATGTACAACATAATAAATCTAGGTGTGTTCAGGTTTACAGATATGGAGATTGCTAAGATATTTATTACATACAGAGTATACTGAGGGTACAGAGGACACAAGGGATACAGAAGATACAGAGAATATAGAGAATACTAAGGATATTGACAACTCCAGGACAATAATAAAATCAATCTGTGTATCCATGTATTCTGTTTCCTATAGACTTGGATAATAAATATATCAACACTAAACATCAGACACAATACTACTATACTAGTTTTTACATAAATAATGGTTTATTTAAGGAAATGTTCTAACATTTAATGTAAAATATTGCTATGTATAACCAAAACAAGAGAGTCAATGCTTTAAGTTTAAACTTTCCAGGGCCGAGCTTCTTTCTTCTGTCTACAGAAATTTGCATACTTTTCCCTTTTCTTTTTGTTTATTGTATAACAGAAGTGATAGATGTCGTAACCAGACACTGGACAGACTTACCAATTATAAGAGCGTTGTGTATTTTTCAAAACCAGATAAATCTTGTTGTTAATAGGATTTTGAAACATATACAATGAGGACCAGGAAACCGTCATCTTTGTTCTTCATTTTACTTTAGAAATATCCCGTAGGATTTATGATTTACTAGTTGCGAGTAAGATACTTCTGCAGAGCTTACATTTCTTTCAAATCGGCCAAGCTGATTTTTTTATCATAAGAAAAAAAAAATACATCTTTGTTGTGTTTGCAGCTAGTAAGTTGCTGTCCAAATGCTTTTAATTACTTGTTACAACGCACTGTTAACTCCCGGTCATTTTAAGAAACGGACTGACATATATAAATCAGTTAGAGAGACCTGTACAGTACACATACAGATTATGCCAGGCCACAGGGGTCAGTACACAGAATGAACCAGCCCCTTGTAGGGAAATTCACTAAAACTTCAATTTCAACACCAACCGCATCCAAGAAAATTATAAAAAAAAACTTACATAGAATATTGAGATGAATCTTATTACTGTATCCGTCTCCCTGAATGTTGCTGGCCCGACATCCATACTCTCCTCCTGCCATCAATCCAACCTTCTAAACATACAGCCATGTTGTCTTTTCGAAATATGTTGCGGCATTCGTTAGAGTACACTGTTTTAAACAAGGAGAATTGAATACAAGGAGGGGGCAATAATGTTTCCGTACAATTTGCTGTGACGTTTTTTGACTGCTGAAGAACTTGTTTTTGCGCAACAACAATAACAAAGATTGTAAACAATAACACAAATGATAAACAGACATCTGGCGCATCTCTGGCGTTAGATGAAGATTCACCGTATACTAACTCATGTTTGTTTACTCTAGATCGGCTGCCTTTATTATTGTTGTTAAGCAAAAAGCTGTATTCAATTCTCCTTGGTTTTAAAAATATGTTAACTCATCGTGCACCAGGTCCAGTCAGATGAGCATGCATATGCAAAGTATAGCCAGGCCCTGAATTTTATTTGTTAAGCATAATTCTTCGAACAATTCTTGGGATTTCAAAATGTGTTTATTTTGTGTGCACTATTGCACTGTATTTTGTTCAAATTTAAATTTATTATAGGAAATCTTAAATCTTCATTACAACAAATTCCTTTATCGTTTTGAGTTACAAATAAATTGTCCCAGTCCAGTGATAACCAGAAAATGTCTTCTTTTATATTTATTCAGGAGAACAAACAGAAAATAAATCTGTAAATGACTGAACGTAGACAACAATCGTTCCATACATTTTTAAGTATTTTGAATCAATTTGGAATCAGAGCAAACTTAATAAGAGTGCAATTATTTAGTGTTAAAAATCTTTTCCTAGATTTCTACACAGTGTTACCCAATAAAGGATGAGACTGAATTATGACGCTCACATAGATTCAGCCTCCTTATAAACAGTCTCATAAATTTTTAAGACAGGGCTGACTTTGAAGTGTCGCAACGCCCTAAGCTTAAATTTTACCGCTCTAACTCACTTTTGCTTTTCTGTAGCCCTTTACATGTACATTTTAGCACTGTAAAGCACTTGTTGTTAGATGTGGTTTTTTAGAAGTTATTGGCAAAATTCTCAACGATTTTTGCTTGAGAGCGTGAGACCATTAAATCGCAGTGCGCTATGAAATAAAATGAAAATATGACGATTTCTAGGTTGAATTATGTCTTCTGTCATTTAAATAGGCTTATTTCATGATTAAGCAAAGAGCAAAACCTGTTTGCAGTTGCAGAGAGTTATGAATATAAGAAAACAGTGTAAACTCCTTACAATATATATACATCTGTCTATATATCCATCTATCTTATCTGAATATTTGTTAAGCATATAATGATAAGAGTAGAACTGGGTTTGACATTAGAGAATAATGATCAACGTATGTAAGATATAATAAATACTAATGGAATTATAGATAGATAGACAGATAAATAAAGATATATATAGATAGATGGAAAGATAGATTTGTAATTACATAGATGGATGAGATACATTGGTATTCCAGTGGCAAACCATTTTCCCAGTATCTACATGGCATATGTACAATAAGCGTCCTATATGTCTTTGAGTGTGTCATTTTTTTAATGAACAAGCAAAAATTCTTACGAAGACTTTCACCAACGTTTGCGTTCCTCTTTCTTGCATAAAATGAGCTTTTAAAAATTGCTTCAGCCTCTATATTTCCTGTGAGCATTTCTTTAAAGGGAGAGACCGGCTAGAAATATTAGTTGAGCTGAAAGTGCAGATTGTAGAGAAAATATTTTGAATTCTTTTGATACCAATGAGATATTTTTACGGGGTACAATTTTGAATTACGAGCGTGAAGTCCTTTATGTTTTCACCAGTTGTTTCAGTCACCAGAAAAAAACATGCTTTCCTATTATTTGAAAAACTAGAAATAAATGTTAACAAAAATATTTTAGAGACTTATTTACTGTTTGGGAACATAATTAATTGATAGAAAGTGTCGAGGAAAGCCATATCGTAAAACCGTAGAAAAATTTGTATAACTTATTTTTAATAAATTAATTTCATTATATTTCTCAACCTGTTTTTATACATGCAACTAGCAAGGGCGTACACAAGTGGGGTCAGTGCCCCCCCCCCCCCGTAGAACTCAGCTACTCAGATATAACACTTTTCAAATCTGAAACTGAAGAGTGAAAAGCATAAAAAAATTAGTTTACTGTTTTTGTCTGCTAGTTTTGTTTGATAGAGAAATAAAGTAGTACTGGCCAGGTAATTGGATTGTATGCGTACCTTTGAAGTATCCAAGATGCCAAATGTTTTAAATTTACAATTCAAACTATGCCCCCCCCCTAGGAGCTCATATATATGTTTCCCCCCCCCCACTCTTGGCAATAGCATAGTATTTGTTACACGTTGTGTCCATGTTATTTTAGTTATTGTATTTTAGTTATTGTATGTAAACTCGGTTCTTTTGCTGACTGAAACAATTGGTGACATATTACAAATAACTTTACGCTCATATTTAAATATTGTCTAGTAGGTATCAAATGAACCCTACAGCTTAACTACCACTCTCGCCGGTCTCTCCCTTTAAACATAAAATAAAAAGTAAATTTTACAGGCGTTCCTTTGTTTTTTTTAGGGAGGGAATTTTTTAAAATGATTTTTTAGAACGAATTTATTTTTAATGCGCGCAGTTATGTTTCACACAGTATTTGGGTCCGGCCATGTTCAATTTTTTTAAAAAACCTAAAATATGACTCGACATAGTTTAAACTAGATATTTTTAGTTTTATGATGTGCAGAGAAAAAGGGGTAATAATCTGTAAAAGCTGAAATTATTACTTCGTCTTGCTGTTCATTAAATCTGTTCTATTTTTATTTTCTTTAAAAAATGAATTTTAGGTTATAATATCTTTACTTTAAAAGAACTCTTTAAGTTTAACTTTGGCATAGTTGTACTATACAGCCTTCACACCCAAACAAAAACTAATATAAACTTTTCTTTTACCATTTTATTGTTAAAACTCAACTGTCACAAGAAGAAGAAGAAGAAGAAGAAGAAAAAGAAGAAGAATAAGAAGAAGAAGAAGAAGAAGAAGAAGAAGAAGAAGAAGAAAAAGAAGAAGAAGAAGAAGAAGAAGAAGAAGAAGAAGAAGAAGAAGAAGAAGAAGAAGAAGAAGAAGAAGAAGAAGAAGAAGAAGAAAAAGCGAAAGGACAGAAAGAATAAAAAACCAGTGACGAAACAACAAAAGCCCATTATATTTTACTATGAAGCCACGCCAGGGCCCACTTAAACATATATTTTTGTAGTAGATGGTCCCTTATATAACTATAAACATCGGCTACACTAAATAGAAGATAGGGATAGATTACTTATCAATTAGACAATCTTAGTTATCCTTAATTTAAAGAGTAGTACCACTGTGATCTCGCCAGGCTACATTTATTGAATAAAACGTGCTGGGTCGACTCTACGCTGGTAGTCTGGACTGGACAGTACAACTGAATGCATATACAGTACATGTTGTACTGACTCGTATCATGCAAAGATTTAGCAATGTAGATGCGATTCACAACGGTGAAAATGTATTAGATAGATATCCATGTTTTTACTTTTGAAATCTGATTTTTAATCGTTGGTTCTGCTGCAGAAAACAATGACAGAATTATTAAAAATAAACACATTTCAAACAAGAAAAGGTGAATTACAACAACTGCAGTTTCTAGTTTAAGTACTTGCTTTTATCAAATTAATAAAATAGTAAATTTTGAAATTTGAAATTAATTTTAACTTAAATCATTGATTTTGATTTGACATTTAGCCTCCTCCTTAAAGAGAAAGTTTAAAATCTGACTAGTTTATGCTCATTTAAACATTATACTAGGCTATTCTAGGCTATCTCTATATTTATTTTAGAAGAGGCATTAATCAAAAAATATTGAAATGAACAGATTACTCGCCTAAATCTTTTATTTTCTATTCTTAATATCTTTGCAACCTCATATCATTTAAATTAGATTTTTCTGCTATGCATTCTGCTAGTTCAGAGAAAAGTAAAAAGTCAAAGGTTTACATTATTAAAGTAACAAAAACATGAGAAAATCAAAGGTTTACATTATTTAAGTAACAAAAACATGAGAAAGTCAAAGGTTTACATTATTAAAGTAACAAAAACATGAGAAAATCAAAGGTTTACATTATTAAAGTAACAAAAACATGAGAAAATCAAAGGTTTACATAAATTGTGTATATTTGCGCATGCACAAACGCGCACAGTTCTAGTCTTGTAAAAATAAATTGACCTACCATCTTTGGATGTACGAAACTGCACTAAAAAAAAACTGACAAAAAACTTTATATTTAATTGTTTAAAACAGTGAGAATACATGTATTTCAATAACCCTGAGGCAGAGGCCCAAAAGGAAAAACGCGCAAGCTCTCTCTCTGTTTTGTCATTCAACACTCCTTACCTGAATTACAAGCGAGGAATCTGTAATAATAATTCCAGCAGAAATATTTTCTTCAACTCTCTCATCATTCATGTACCATTCAACCTGTACATAGATATCTGTAAATACTTTTGTATATTTCATGTACCTGAATATTCAATCTGTACATAGATATGTGAAAAACATACTTTCGTATCATTTATTTACCATGCAACCTGTACAACCGAAATATGTACATAATTTCTTTTCATTCATTTACCATTTAACCTGTATATCTCTCATTTTCATGTACCATTTAACCTGTACATACAATATTTGAACATTCTTGCTTTTCATTGATGTACCATTCAACCTGTACAAACGATATCTGTACATACTTTCTTTTCATTCATGTATCATTCAACATGTACAAACAATATCTGTACATACTTTATTATCATTCATGTACCATTCAATCTGTATATACGATATCTGTACGTGCATATTATACTTTTTTTTCTTCATGTACGCTTCAATCTGACATTTATCTTTTACATAAATATCTATACATATTATACTTTCTTTTAATTCATGTATATGCAATCTGTACAATGTACATAGATATATATACGTATTATACTTTATGTTCACCTACATAATGTACGTTTCAATCTGTTTAATTTGTAGCTGTACATAATTTGACAACCAAGCAATCTACACTTGCAACCAAATAGATTCTAGTACAATAGGTGGCAACGTAGAATTTGTACACTCTCAGTACAGATGTATTCTGACGTCACAAGTGTCAATTCAGTTTTTGTGTCCGACAAAATTATTAATAATAGTGATAGTTTTAGAAAAAAGTGCTTATCTTACAGTAAAATAAGTGCAATTTCATGTGTTCTTTATTTTCTGTTTTTACCCTTTTTTATTTAATCTTGGAAAGCATTTCAACAAATGTGATACAATTTCGTTTTCCTTGTTATATTTGACACTTATGACGTCGTGTATAATTGGTTCATTTCTCTGTTGCCACCTATTATACTAGATAATCTATTTGCTTGCAACTGTTTGTTATTAATGTTGACGTTAGTCTAAATTTTTCAAATTTAAAACAAATTATTTATGAAAATAAACGTTTAATTAACTATCTGTTCTAGGAAACTGAAATGGAAAGCAAAAGCTTTAAATAATATTACATAACGATAATTCTTATTAAAGGTTTGATAAATGATTGTTATGACGGTAAACGAATTGTTTTTACAATTGAAGAAAAACAAGAATAAGTTCAAAGTACTTTTTTAATAAAAAAATGATATAAAAAATTTAAAGGGATAATCGACGTAAATTTTAAGTAACCCTCAATTTAAAACGTTGAAAATTAGTATTTTTCAGATAGAAACACAGATAAAACGTCTTTCAGATAAAAACACAGATAAAACGTTTAATAATTTAAAGTATCTTTCAGATAGAAACACTGATAAAACGTTTAATAGTTTAAAGTAGCTTTCAGATAGAAACACAGATAACACGTTTAATAGTTTTAAAGTATCTTTCAGATAGAAACACAGATAACACGTTTAATAGTTTTAAAGTAACTTTCAGATAGAGACACATATAACACGTTTAATAGTTTAAAGTATCTTTCAGATTGAAATACAAATAAACGTTTAATAGTTTAAAGTATCTTTCAGATTGAAATACAGATAAACGTTTAATAGTTTAAAGTATCTTTCAGATAGATACACAGGTAAAACGTTTAATAGTTTAAAGTATCTTTCAGATAGAAACACAGATAACACGTTTAATAGTTTAAAGTATCTTTCAGTTAGAAGCACAGATAAAACGTTTAATAGTTTAAAGTATCTTTCAGATAGAAACACAGTTAACACGTTTAATAGTTTAAAGTATCTTTCAGATAGAAACACAGATAACACGTTTAATAGTTTAAAGTATCTTTCAGATAGAAACACAGATAAAACGTTTAATTCAGTTTAAAGTATAACATCAGACATGTGAATTTTTAATAATTTTAATTTGAAATTATATTTTTTGAACCTATTGTATTTTTTCTTTAAAATAATACATCTTTGTACCAACTAACAAAACCAGAGCAAGGTACCTTCTTGGGAAGCTTCCAGTTTAGTCATATAAGTTAGAATAGTACAGAGAAAAATATTCCTAAAATGTTTGTTTTTTTCTCAATAGGCAGCCAACAGTTTGATATATAAACAATATAAATTCCATGCTTTTGCAAATCTAAAGAAATAGGATTGATGAAGTCATGAAACCCTGTCATGAACATATTTCACCCAGGGGGGAGGGTTACATTTTAATTCCTAAAAGAACTGTGATTCCATTTAAAGAGGGATTCTCAAAGAGTTCAAAAATGATAAATTTATAGAAAATTAAAAATCACCAAAAATTATAAAACATCCTATTTTTCATTTCAAAATTACATTTTCCCAATTGCAGTTTCTTGACAACAAAATGATTTTCATTTTGAGCAAGTCACTTAAAAAATCCCGATAGGAGGGTGGGTTAGGTTGGGAGAAACCATTGGCTTAACGGGGCTCAAAATTATGCTAAAACTGAAAAGTCTAAAATATGGCCAAAGGAATTGAATCTTTGTCACAAATTCAAATTTTCTAATCCCTATATCTTAGCAACTTGATGGTGCAAACCTTTGATATGTCAGATTATTTGATCTACCAGAATTCATAGTTTGAAATATCTAAGTCTACGGCATTGGGTTGCAAAGATATAGGGATTAGAAAATCAGAGTTTGTGGTAAAGACTAAAATGCTTTCTGGTCAAGAAACTAAAATCTTAAACAGGTTTTTGATCTAGGACCTTTTCAGCTTAATGGGTTCTGACTATTTTCTATTTAATCTGACTTGATTACCTTGTATTCCTTTGGTTTGCTGAGAATGGAACATTGGAAGAAGACATCAGTTCCCTGTTTTCAGAACCAAACATATATCCAATATATACAGGGTGAGTCAAAAAAGTGTGATTTGCGGCGCCTGGTGCAAAGTTGTACCTGACTTGTGATTATTCAATATTTTTTGAAAATTTGTAATTTTGTTTGGTACACCAATGCAATGGCCCAAAAAAATCCCCGAACCTTTTTTTTCTCTCAAAATCAAAATTTCAGAAAAACGAAAATGTGCAAATAAATGGTTTTCTATCTATTTTCGCTTTTCTGAACTTTTGATTTTGAGAGAAAAAAGGTTTGCGGTTTTTTTTGGGCTATTCGAGTACCAAAAAAGTTACAAATTTTCAAAAAATATTGAAAAAACACCAAACAGGAGAGTTGCAAAAAAAAGTTACAATTTTGCACCGGGTTTATATTTATATTGGTTAATTTTGCTATGAAAGTAACTAATACATTCCGGCATAAATGTAATTTACCAAGTACTTGAAAAACTAGGGCATAATATTTTATTCACTATTCACTTTAATTAATTAGATTTCTACTTTTAATCTAGAGAATTGGAATTTTTCTTCGTTATACAAAGTTTAGCAAAATATATGCAAGGTTATAATGCAAGGAAAGTTAATTGCAGTTGCGTATACTCTGCGTACATATTGAAACCAGTTCTCTCTGGGCGGTGTCTGTAAACAAGAATAATAATAATAAGTGTTCTTTTAGTTTCCGAGGAGGATAAAAGCATTAAATTTTGAACATAATAGTTTTCTATGATCAGAATATTTCATTGACTTTTTATGTGAAAATAAATAAACATAAATAGCTTATGTGCGCAAAATCCCCAAGAATTGTATAGTCCGCGAACTCATACTTCTAGGGGTTCAAAGTGTACTTCAATGATAAGCGGGGTGGTTTGGTGTTTTAATGGATTTCATAATAGAGTGTAAAATAACTCCGGGAATGGAATTATTTGAACAACAATATTTCACTGAGCAATATATCATATTGACGAGAACTAAAGAAGGACATGAGAAGGACTAAACTAACTCAAATTTCACTCTTCAGAACTCATGTACACCACAAGTACTCAATGACATAAGAACAGCCAATGTTCACAACCGACCTAGTTAATCTATAAAATAGAAATATCTTTAAAACATCTCTGTACATTTATATCTTTCAAGATGAAAAATGTCGTCTTATGCGCAATCTATCTTTATCTATGGATGGATCCCATGTCAAGCTGTGACATCCGTCTTGTGTTTACATTTACCGCCCAGAGACAGTACACTGCAGTACAAAAGTTGCGAACACCTCTGAAATAACTTTCCTTGTATTATAACCTTGAATATATGTACGTTATTATTCTCTGGATTATTGAAGATTTTTTTGAAAGGAAGGGGGGGGATAAAGCTGACACAATCCTGAATGGGCCACACATTTAAGAGTAAACCATGTCTAAACTAAGGGCTATTGAGCAATTTTTTATCAAAATGCTTTAATACACATTGTACCAGTTTTTATACTTTCTTAGACACATTTTTTAAAAAGATTTGAGAATTTTGTGTTCAAATTTTTCAAAGTCATTCAGTTTTTTTTTTTGTTAAAAATGTAAGCCAGAAAATAAATTTTTCGAAAACAATTTTAGATAAACAGATAGATAGATCCGTCTTGAAACACTGGGTTTAGAAGCACAGTAAAATTCGAAGAAATCCCTTAAAAATTAAGCAAATTCTTTTAGTTTAATTAAGCCGTAAATAAAACTTTTTTTTAATATCGAAAGCGGTTCAATATACGCATCTTTCGATACCCATATCAATATTGTTTTGAAAACAAATTGTTAATTTCTGAATCAGTTTTTTTTTAGTTTTATTTTTTCATTTAAAGTATTGCTTCAAATTTACTGCTGCATAACTTTTTTCTGGTGCAAAAAGGATTTGACATTTTCAATAAAACATTTTTAACCTTATTGTAAAATAACATTATAGTGGTTAAAAAAGTGTTTAAAATTGCTTAAAAAACTCATGCCGTTATATTTTAAGTTCAGACCAAGGCTTTCTGAAACTATTTCGGCAGAAAGGCAGAAAAGAGAAAAACTAGACCTAACATAATTGAGAGTTGAAGAGTTTATATAAGGAGGGATAGTATAGGATTCAATATACAGGGAGTTCCAATAAACACGGGAATTATTATGAGACAACTTGAAAATCGTCTTTTATGTCTAATAGTTGATGATGGATGGTAAAGTGTATCAAAAAAAGATTGTATTTATTATGAGTGTCTGAAAATGTGGTATACCTTAATTTTATCAATCAGATTTACAGATGTATCAAAGGTTTTCACTATTTTGATTTTGTTCAAAAGATAGGAAAAGATGGTAGACCACAATTTTGACATCTTGAAGTTTTTGATGATGATTGTTTTAACTGGAATACTTTTAAGATTTTGACACCCTGAATATGTAAGGTTCAAAATTTAAAATTATTTTTGAAGAGAAGTTAGTTGGTTTTCGGCTATTTAGGACTTAATTTTTAATGCCTGCTTTTTTCCGCATTTTTTGGGTCTAATTAGTCGGAGCATCTGAATATATGCCAGAATTTGTATTGACATACCTTTTAGAGATAAAATAAAAGAATATCTAAATTATGTTTTAGATGATTCCCTGAATTATTTTGTTTGAGTTCAAGTTTGCCCCCATCGTTAACTTTAATATTGGAGAATCTGAAACAAAAAAATTGAATTATTTTTTTTTATTTGGATTTTCAATGGCAAATACAAATCGAATCACATAAGTTAAAGAGATTGTAAGAATACTTTCAAGTGATCAGTATCCGTGCTAGTGTACACTCGTGCGGTTTCAACTGTCACTTAATTTCCCGCCATATATTTAAGAAAACCATAAAATTCTTGAACAAACAAAGGTTTAATTAGAATATCGGTTTAAATCGTACATGCCACTCTTAAAATGGATGGATGGAAGGTCACTTGAAGTGACGCTAACAGTCAGTTCCTTTAGATTAATTTTGTTCTGTTGATCCTCTTAAACTTAAACCTTTACTACATTTAACGATCAATCAATGGTCAAAAATTGGAGATTTTAATAAAAATCTGCCGTTTTAGGCAACCCTTCATTAAACCATCATATATCCTTATTTTCTAACTAAATTAGAGCGCCCCTGGAAACTCGAATTAAAATTCAAACAATGTACAAGAGTTGAAAGGGTATCATTGTAAATCGGAAATACCATTTGTCCTAAAATTACGTCTTTAGTCCCTTTAACTGAAATTTGTTTCAAAGTTTCCGCCTCTGTAATTAAATTTCTATATATTGTTTAAAAGTTTCCGCCTCTGTAATTAAATTTCTATTTATGTTTAAAAGTTTCCACCTCTGTAATTAAATTTCTATTTATTGTTTAAAAGTTTCAACCTTTGTAATCAAATTTCTATATATTGTTTAAAAGTTTCCGCCTCTGTAATTAAATTTCTATATATTCTATAAACTGAGATTTCTCATAAAATTCCAGATCTAACCGAACACAACTAATATGTAAATTCATTCAGAACATTCCCAATTTAACCATCTAATCAATTATCTAATCAATCAATCATTAAATCAGCAGATTTAAAGAGACTGTAGAAATAATTTAAAGGGACTGTAGAAATAATTTGAAGGGATCGTCGATGATTAAAGTTCGATTCACATGTGTACATTTATCTGGTTGAGGTTTGTTACGTTATTTTTAAAGCATTGAATTCTGTCAATAACATTCTTTGTCTCTGCTGCATAAATATGCAAGTCACGTATGTGAAGAAACTGAAATAAAGAGTATCTGCAACAAAAGACTTGAGTTTTTGCCACAAACTCAAATTGTCTAATCCCTATATCTTTGAAACCAGATGATGTAAACCAATGTTATTTCAAATTTAAACTATTTGACCATAACATAATTCAAAATTTGAAATATCTAAGGTTTACGACATCGGGTTGCTAAGATATAGGGGGAAACAGTTAGAGTTTTTGGCAAAAACTCATTCCCTTTCTGCCGACAAATACTATTGAAAAAATTTGCTTTTGAAACGTTTTACAAAGGTCAATTGTGTAGTATCAATATTTTATGAAATCTAAGTTATTTTTAATTAATAAATTAGAATATTTTAACTTACATTGAATACTGAGAGTGTGATTTGAAATAAGTTTCTTGTGTTTCAGTTCCTTATTAAATACAATACAGGATACATTTTCCCCATCCAACCTGAAATATTCTATGTTTAGTACAATACAGGATACATTTTCCCCATCCAACCTGAAATATACTATATTTAGTACAATACAGGATACATTTTCCCCATCCAACCTGAAATATTCAATATTTAGTACAATACAGGGTACATTTTCCCACATCCAACCTGAAATATTCAATATCTAGTACAGTACAGGATACATTTTCCCCTTCCAACATGAAATATTCAATATTTAGAAAAATACAGGATACATTTTCCGCATCCAACCTGAAATATTCAATATTTAGTACAATACAGGATACATTTTCCCCATCCAACCTGAAATATTCAATATTTAGTACAATACAGGAACATTTTTTACACTCCAATCTGAAATATACTATATTTAGTACAATACAGGATACATTTTCCCCATCCAATCTGAAATATGCTATATTTAGTACAATACAAGATACATTTTCCCCATCCAACCTGAAATATACTATATTTAGTACAATACAGGATACATTTTCCCCATCCAACCTGAAAAATTCAATATTTAGCACATTACAGGTACCATTTTCCTCATTCAACCTGAAATATTCAATATTTAGTACAATACAGGATACATTTTCCCCATCCAACCTGAAATATTCAATATGCCAGTGTCCGAATTTGATGAATTTGAGCCGCGTCTCAAATCCACCAAAAACCGGCATCAATTGAGCACCGGATGAAATCTTGAAACATTGAATACAATTTTGAGAGGAACCAATCATATTTGAGCCGCTGCTTAAATTCTTTAAATTCGGCCTCAGGTCACTTAAATCAAACTTTATTCCCTGTTTTTATTTCAAGAGTAATAAATCCCTTTTACAGATTCATGATTATTTAAAAAAAGCAATTTTGAATATTTAGATTTATGCACAACAATTCTAGCATCAATGCTAAAATTCCATTATTTCCTATATCATTGTTTCATTTTTCAAGTTTTAATGGTTTTTTCCTTAAAACCTTTATTTTAAGCCTTAATATTCATATAAAAGAATGACTTAAAAACAGATAGATTAATTAGATAGATAATTAGATAATTAGATAAATAAATTAAGTAAAAAAATTGAATAGATGAAAGATAGATAAAGAGATAGATAGATGATTGATTGATTGATATAAATAGATAGATAGATAGATAGATGGATAGATAGATAGATATAAATATAGATAGATATTTAGATAGATAGATTATAGATAGATAGATAAATGGAATAGTTACTGACAGATTCTTATTATTACGTATACGTTTTACCTATAGTCCGCGATTATTGATAAGTTTGAACTGGAAGAATTCCCGGATTTTAGTACCTGGAACAAAAACATTTAATCTTAATACAGTGACAACCAGAAAACTTTGGAAAAGGAAGAAGACTTTTAGACACAATTTATGAATTTAAATAGTACATTAAACTAGAAAACCCTCTTTTGTGCACTGTGCAAAGGCCCAATTTCCTTAATAAATAATTTAATAAGTTACAATTAAAACTAATTGCTTTGCAACCACTTCAAAAAATAATTTTTGGTTTTGTGCTGTTTCGTCTTCTTATTGAACAGTTTTCTGGTTATTACGGTATAAATTTGATTAACCAACATACATGTACATATGGGCAAAGCACTAGTGAATGGGAAAGATAGTTATTAGCAAAGTTGAGAATTTTCTTGCCCAAGATAGAAATCAGAAAGTACAAATTCCGTACAGTCGTCTCTGAAGTCTCATCCTTAATGGATAGCAATTGTTCATTTACATAATTACCCACACTTCAAGACGATTACCCACACTTCAAGACGATTACCACTGCTCTTCAAGACGATTACCCACACTTCAAGACGATTACCACTGCTCTTCAAGACGATTACCCACACTTCAAGACAATTACCACTGCTCTTCGAGACGATTACCCACACTTCAAGACGATTACCCCTGCTCTTCAAGACTATTACCCCTGCTCTTCAAGACAATTACCACTGCTCTTCGAGACATTACCCACACTTCAAGACGATAACCACTGCTCTTCGAGACAATTACCCACACTTTAAGACAATTACCACTGCTCTTCAAGACGATTACCCACACTTCAAGACGATAACCACTGCTCTTCGAGACGATTACCCACACTTCAAGACGATTACCACTGCTCTTCGAGACGATTACCCACACTTCAAGACGATTACCACTGCTCTTCGAGACGATTACCCACACTTCAAGACGATTACCACTGCTCTTTGAGACGATTACCACTGCTCTTCGAGACGATTACCCACACTTCAAGACGATTACCACTGCTCTTTGTAAAAAATATCTTTTGCCATTTTTATTTTTAAGCTAAGTAAATTTAAATAAGTTATTAAGTTTCTATTGAATGTAAATGTCATGCAAAGGATCTATTAATTAATCAATAAGCATGATTATCGATGAAATGATTTTTCTCGGAAATATATTTATTGCAATTATAGAATGCCAGCGTTGAATTTTATTGCATAAGCTTTCCGGTCTATCCAATTAAAAACAAGTAACCCTCCGACTAATTAAACTCGTAATAATATTTTATTATTTAAAATAGAAAGACTACAGATATTCGAAATTAATGGTATTTTTTAAACTAAAAACTGTACGGTATACTTTTCTATGTAGGAATTATCCATCCTGCATAAATAAGACTGGACGGTTAATTTGTGTATTAATGACCAGAAAATTTCCCTTTTGTAGTAAAAGACCATTTTAACAATTTTTCTTCAAAACAAAAGTTAAAACCAGTTATCCAAAATTGACATGTCTAGGACTATAAAAAAGAAGTAAGTTAAGTAAAAACTTAAAGGCCAAGACGTTGCAACACTTTAAAGTTGACCTAGTCTTGAAAATCGATGTAACTTGTCATGGCTTTTTGGGCCTTTGTGTATTACCTTAGTGGTACTTTCTGTTTATGTAATTTTCTAAACCTCCCGAGTTTTAAAGAACCATTCACATTTTTGACTTAAATTATTAGTTTTAAATGAATGGCTCTTTTAAACCAAAAAACAGATTTTTTTATTTTTTTCAATGAATTTCCGTTATTGAAAAAAAATTCGTACGTTAACAGCACTATGCCCAGGTCTAACTTCTAACCAAAGGTATATATCATTATATTTCAAGCTAACACAGTAAAACCCTGAACCCTCCACAGCAGTCATAAATCAGTGTCGAGAATCATTTGTTTTTCTAGTCCTGTACTTGTCTTGGATAATTACGATTACTTCTAGTATATTTATCATTTGTCACACTCAGGGGGTCATTTTAACCAGTCCAACCAACTAATTAATCAATCATTAAATACGCTTTTCATATTCAGACTGATAGTTCATTTAAAAAATAATACATTAAAAAAATTCCCGAATGTTCAATATATTTACCAGGAACCTCAAATACGATATTTTATTAATTTAAAACAATTTTCTTAAATGGGCCACCCATTTCACTGTTTTCCTGCCATTTTTTTGGCCTTTTAGACCATTTTTGGCTAAATTGGGTTAACTCTGTCAATTTTTAAGAGATTTTGAAGTGTAATATTATTTTGAGAATAACTTAAATTGGTTATGACGATATTAAATAGAATATTTTCGAATTTAAAAAGTATGGTGATGAGTCTGAAAAAATAATCTATTTAAAATGGACTGTAAAGGAAAGGGGGAATAGGATATAACCTGAGATTTCAGGTTTTGAACGATACCTGTAAGACATCTATCTTAAGTTCCTGTCTCGAGAAATTGACATAAAACTGTTTCAAAATTATTCCAAAAAGGACATATGTCAGATTTTGTTAAAACTTGTAGTATTAAATAGATCATATTCAACAATTACGCAACCAATCTGAAAAAGACTACATCTCACAGCAACCTGAAAATCTTAAGTTTGCTCCTGTTATAATTATTTAATTTTCATTTAGCATTTTTTATAGATATAATTGATAATATTATTGCATTTAATCCGTATAGTCTGTATTACGTCACCAGTTTCAGCCAATGGCAGTGCAGTATACTGGTCACTGTGGTTTCCATCTGTACCACGTGACAACGATACTGCACTGTCATTGGCTGAAGTTATTGTGACGTAATACGGACTATACGGACTATACGGACTATATGTCTTATTTATTTTAGTATATCTATTAAAAATGCAAAATTCAAAATAAGAATTTTAATATGAGGAAACCTGAGATTCTCAGGCTCCTGTGGGATATAATCGTTTTCAGATTGGTTTTGTAATTGTTAAATATGATCTGTTTAATGCTACAACTTTTCTATAAAATCTGACATATGTCCGTTTTGGTATAATTTTGACACAGTTTTATGTCAATTTTCTGGAGACAGGAACATCAGATAGATGTCTTATAGGTATTGTTCAAACCTGAAATCTCAGGTTATATCCTATTCCCCCTTTCATTTTTCCTTTGCAGTCCCTTTTAAATGTAAAATCAATCGGAAATATTCATCATTTTAACTCAATTCGCTTTAAAGGATTTTCCTCATTTTGAACTTTTAAGACCTGAAAATCATTTCCAATATTATCTATTTATGTTATTATAAAGGTTATTATTATGAAAAAGATTGTCCTGGGATCTATTTTTTAGGTTTGTTTGAGATCAAAATAATAGTATTTTTACATCATACGTAGTGATCGAAACTTTGCATTGATGGAAAACTAGAAAAATAAGAAATCCCAGCAAAAACTATTTCGCACGCAAGACACCCATTGCAATAACATTTATAGTTTCATTCATTTTTGCTCAGCTTGTTTAATAGAAGAAAAATAAACTAGTTACTGAATCGCACTGTTGTAGTATGATAAAGTAACTTTATCACCCTACAACGGGAAATATGAGGTGTTATAAACTCCTCCAAAATAGAATAAAATCTACAATCTGTTAAACAAATTATGTTGTATGCATAAAACGATGTTTAAATGGTCCTAAGTTTAAATTCCGTGATACGAATTTATTTAACCAGTTCTTGAAAAAACAAATTGATTAAAATCAATTTTCTAAAGCTCATGCAATAATATTAAAGAAAGTGTGATTTTAAAATACCTTTTTCCCGGTTACTTCCATCGCGTACTTTCAGATAATCAAAAATGTTTCAGCTAGTTAGAGCTTGAAGTAATTTAACTGAACCACTTCTCTAAACTTGACCGAGCGCACCGAGAACTGGTTGAACCGGCATGATGTTAGGTACTTTCCCAAAGGCTTTTTCCAAAGTGGCAACTTCCCAAGGTATCTTCCCAAGCGGCAACTTCCCAACTGTGTGATTTCCCAATCGACAACCTCCGAAGTCTGTCCTAGCCGCATCTTTTGGTCCTCTAGATAGGATGTTCGGCCCCCTGATCAATCCTAGCCGCAACGCTCTGCCCTCCCCACATTAAAGACTGCTGCGCCTCAGAAGGCCTTTCATAACCTTTGGGAAGTTGCCGCTTGGGAATTTTCACATTTGGGAGTTGCTTCATGGGAAATTGTCATATGGGAAGTTGCCATCGGGAAAATGCTTTTGGAAAAATACACAACACCATATTCCAACATTTCAAACTAAAGTAAAATTCTTGTAAGATTGAAATCTTTTACGTGTTTTAATATCTCAGGCCAGTGGTTGCAAATATATAGGGATTAGAAATTTTTATTTTAGTTTGTGACAAATTAATTTTTTTGGACGAAATTTCATTTTTGAATTATTTATCAAAAAAAAAAAAAATTCTAAAACGTTAAAAGTTTTGTTTTATATTATTGTTATTATAAATTACTATTATAGTTCGGGGCTGTGAAAATAGTATTGTTAAATAATTAATGTAAAATATATGATAGATAATTACTAGGTAGAGTTAATAGTATATCCTTACACATTTACTCCATCTTTTTTTATTTACAGAAATAATTTCAAATTCACAATTTGAAAAATTATTCGATAAAAACCCATTTAAAAAAAAAATTTCATGTTTTTTTAACATAAATATTTTTTTATGCAAATGATCTGGTCTTTAACGGACAATCATAGGCTGTAGATTAGTGATGGAGAAATTTTATTACAAATGCCATAAATTAAAGTGTATCAAGAAAAAAACATCAACATTTTATCATCATGATATTCAGGTAGAAAAGATGCAATCACTTGTAAAAGTGGCAACGATGATTTTTACTTTTTGGTTTTGACAAACTCATGCTTTGGTAGAGTAAGCCTTTGATCCCGTCAAATATGATATAGATCTACATTTTTAAACATTTTTCATCAAATCTGAAAATTCTCAACAAATTATAAAATTTTAAAAAATTCTTCATGTATTCATTTATTCATCTCCAAATTTAGTCCATGTAAATAACCCGGAGTTAGAAAGTGATTCATGTGCAGATCGAAACTTACTATTCGATAAGGACCATTCTGAACTTAACAGCTATCGATATAGCTACCTAACGACTCGTTATCCCGGTCTGTCTCTTTGGAAAGAAATTGAGTTTTTGCCACAAACTCTGATTTTCTAATTTCAATATTGTTGCAACCCAATGTCGTAGACCTTTAATATTTCAAACTATGAACGCTATTGGATCAAATAATGTAAGTTTGAAATATCAAAGCTTTACATCATAAGATTACAAAGATATAGGTTTTACAAAAACTGACTCAATTCCTTTAAACAATATTTTCGTAATTACGGACTAAAAGTGTGTAGTTCAAATGTGAACTGTTCTTAAAAATAATAAGGAATTTACCATGAGAACCAGAAAATTGTGGAAAAGAAGGACGCCTTTTAATCTCAATTTATGACTTCAAATTATCCAATAAACATTAATCACAGCAACAGTGTTAAAAGATCCCTTTGTCTTTAAAAAAAATGATTTTATAAGTTACTACAGTGAATTCCAGATATATCAATACAGTGAATCCCAGATATATCAAAACAGTGAATCCCAGATATATCAATACAGTGAATCCCAGATATATCAATACAGTGAATCCCAGATATATCAACCCAGATATATCAATACAGTGAATCCCAGATATATCAATACAGTGAATCCCAGATATATCAATACAGTGAATCCCAGATATATCAATACATAGCAAGAGTTTTGTATAATGTATAATTCTAAAGAAACTTCTTTTTACTTTTAATCAAGGTAAATTAATAGCCTTGAAATATGAATGCAAATGAAATATTAATATTAAACTTATTTTTCCGCGGCATTTGATCTTAAATATGTAATACGACATTATACAAAACTCTTGCGATTTATTCATATGTCTGCAAATTCGCTGTAGTAACATAAAATAACTAAAATATCGCTTTCACGTCGTCTTCCTATTCCACATTTTTTTGGCTCTCACTGTCCTTTTTACTTATTACAGTCAAATAGATTCTAATACAATAGATGGCAACGTAGAATTTAAACACTCTCAGTACAGCTGTATTATTACGTCACAAGTGTCAACTTAGTCTTTGTGTCCGACAAAATTATTAATAATTGTGATAATTTAAGACTAAAAAGCTACTCTAAATCTTACAGAAAAATTAGCGCAATTTTGAATGTTCTTTATTATCTGTTTTTACACTTTTATTTATTCTTGGAAAATATGTCAACTAATGTGAGAAAATTTCATTTTTCTTGTTATATTTGACACTTGTGACGTCGTGTATAATTGAGCCATTTCTCTGTTGCCACCTATTGTACTTGATAATCTATTTGATTACAGCCAATCAGGGTCTAAGATAAGAAAACCTCTCTGTGATTGGTTGTAATTAATGGATTAATGTGGCAGCTGCTCAGATCCAAATCTGAATTAATGAATGGAAATAAATCAGAGTTTTTGCAACACAAATTTTGCTGTAAAATTAGATTTAACATGTCTTCAATAATGTCGAACTCTGATCATAGATTTTAGAAGAAATTTTCATAGACTCAATTCCTTTATCCCATTTTTTGGCCGTAAAGAACACAACACAAGTTAGCTAAATATCTTATGAAGTTATGATGATTCAGAGTTTAAGATCAATTTGAACCGGCGGTATGCAGTTCAAATTCCATGAATTTTGAATAGGTCAATAAATGTAATGAATGCAATGAATGCAATGAATGCAATGAATGCAATGGTTGCTATGAATGCAATGAATGCAATGAATGCTATGAATGCAATGAATGCAATGAATGCAATGGTTGCAATGAATGCAATGAATGCAATAAATGCAATAAATGCAATGAATGTAATGAATGCAATAAATGCAATGAATGCAATGAATGCAATGAATGCAATGAATGCAATGAATGCAATGAATGCAATGGTTGCAATGAATGCAATAAATGCAATGAATGCAATGAATTTAATTATTGCAATAAATGCAATGAATGCAATAAATGCAATGAATGCAATGAATGCAATGAATGCAATGGTTGCAATTAATGCAATGAATGTAATGAATGCAATAAATGCAATGAATGCAATGAATATAATGAATGCAATAAATGCAATGAATGCAATGAATGCAATGAATGCAATGATTGCAACGAATGTAATGGTTGCAATGAATGCAATGAATGCAATAAATGCAATGAATGCAATGAATGTAATGAATGCAATAAATGCAATGAATGCAATGAATGCAATGAATGCAATGAATGCAATTGTTGCAATGAATGCAATGAATGCAATAAATGCAATGAATGCAATGAATGTAATGAATACAATAAATGCAATGAATGCAATAAATGCAATGAATGCAATGAATGCAATGAATGCATTTGTTGCAATGAATGCAATTAATGCAATGAATGCAATTGTTGCAATGAATGCAATGAATGCAATAAATGCAATGAATGCAATGAATGTAATGAATGCAATAAATGCAATGAATGCAATAAATGCAATGAATGCAATGAATGCAATGAATGCATTGGTTGCAATGAATGCAATTAATGCAATGAATGCAATGAATGCAACGAATGCAATGAATGCAATGAATGCATTAAATGCAATGAATGCAATGAATGCAATAAATGCAATAAATGCAATTAATGCAATATTTTGAAAAGCTTGAAATAGAAATATTTTCTAACCATCGATTTCTTGTCAACATATAGAGAAATTCTAAAATTGTTAAAAGATTTTGAACAGTTGAATTTTATCAAAAAAATTTAAAATAAGGATTTTCCAAATTTTCTGAGAAAAATGGTTACGAAGCTTATCGTAGTTTAAATATTTTCACAGACCACGTCGACAGCTTGTGTTTTATATTCATGATTGCTAAGCACTGTGTTCTTGAGATGATTTTTATTTTGATAGTGAAGAATTAAAATGGGATGTCATGGTGTACAGCTGGAAGTGAATGAACCTCTGTTTATAATGGGGTTTCCAATCCGTTGCGCGTGCAAAGACTTGCAATGATTGATTCCCTTTGCACCATTTGATTGCTCGGCATTGCGTTATAATCGCGAACAAGGAAGCAATAATATATTCGCGGAATTGCTCTGAAATGTGTGCAACGCGGAATTGCGTTTCCATCTAAATCAATCATTTTAATTGTGACTTACAAATTTATGCAGCAGATGCAAGAATGAAAATATCTCTGTAAAATAATCGAGGCTCGAGTGTCACTTGATTCAACAGTTTTTTAAATTAAAGTTTATTGAGCTGATTAAGCTACAAATTAACAATTTAATATGATACATTTTTCATTTGTTTGGAAACTTATTTAGGTTAAACCTATTCCTGCTGGGGGGGGGGGCAATCTGACCCCCCTTACCCCCCCCCCTCCTGTAGAGTATAAGAGCCTTCCAGTAATGTATAATTTGTCATGTTTGGACATCAAACATGGGATTTAGAGGGGGGTCAAATTGACCCCCCCCCCCCACAGCGTATCCAGGTTTTCAAGTACCCCAGCATGGATAGGGTTAAAAAGGTTCTCGTTTAATTAAAATTATATATTTTGCTACAGTGAGAACCAGAAAACTATGGTACAGAAAGACAACATTACAGTGTATTTGATGTCGTTACAAAGCAAAAAAAATAATTAGTAACTTATTAAATCACTTATTCATTTTTCAGATAAATGGGTCTGTTCGAGTCTAAAATGTCGTCTTCGTTTTCCGGTTATTACATGCTGCATGTTAATATTATAAAATATAAGATTAAGTTTAAAATTCAATTTACTTAGCATTTCAGACTGAAATGTTAATGAAGTTCAGTTTATTGTATGCCAATAGCAATGTTAAAATTGAATTTTTTGTTAAAATTACTTGCCTGCAAGGGCTCGCAATTGCGCGCAAGGAAACCCTACTTTATTATAAAATATAAAAAAAACGCTAGGGTGGGTTAGATAGCAGTAAGAATTGATGACAAAAACATCCCCGTTTTTTCTGTGCTCTATATTTTTTGTCCTTATACCTATATGAGAATTCTAAAATAATAATAAGTAAAGGATTCAAATCTGGAAATAGTTTATAATGAAGGAATCAATACATAAAGTTGTAATCTCTTTTGGTCTGTCTGTCTATTTGTTTGTTTGTCCGATCATAACTCAGAAACCATGCTGGACAGATTTGCCTAAAATTTAGATTGGGGCCACGGGAATGTTCATAGTTTGCAGTTTTAAAATTCTAATTTGATTGGATCGACTTAGTTTCCCGGTAAAATCGTTCAAGTGCGGGTAAACGGCGGAAGTAACTATGAGTGACCTGGGCAACGCTGGGTTCAAAGACTAGTTAAAAATAATACGTCACCTGAGGATTAGGAATCTTTTTTCCTTTAAGAAACCATTCCAAATCAGCTGGCGGGTTTGAGCCTTCGCTTTCACACTTGAAAAAACATATATCAATTTCTTCTTTTTTAATGTCTTGCTCTAAAAGGTGGCCATTTTCAATCTTTCTTAAATCTTTACAAATTTTCAGATATGATACATTATTATTTTGGATAAATAAAACGCAATTTCTTAAAATGCTATTCTTTAATTGTCTAATATTCAGAAACCTGATGTTGTAGATTTTTGATATTTCAAAAAAAAATTCTTTTTGATAAAATAATCAAAGTTAGAAAAATCATCGATCATCCGGTTACAGATGTTTTAACTGAGTGATTAGTTTCTTTTTTATTTTGATTATTATTCCAACTAACCTTTAACTACAGGGTGTCCCAATAAACATGGGAATTCAGTGACGAATTCGATATCGTCTTTGCTATAAATAAGCATTGTAATACCTGATTTCAAAAGGTATTATATTATTATGTCTTCTAGGAGTTTATTTTATGAAAACGTTATGGCTGTAAAGATGCGTCTAGACGTCTAAGCGTCTATGGCCTATGCAGTCAAAATATAAACAAACAAATTGTAAACATAGCAGACACAAATCTTCAGGATTACATATTCTCAGAAAGTACACTATACTAAATCAAAAAATTATTTTTAAAGACGATATCGAATTCGTCACTGAATTCCCATATTTATTGGGACACCCTGTATGTATAACTAATTAGGTCGTAAAACACAGCAAAGTTTAAAGTCTTTTGGACAAAACTTTTGAAATTAGAAACTTTCTTACAATTCTTAGTCTGTGAAAATAAGGACAAAAGACGGATACAACATTGTAATAAAATAGATTTTCTGAATGTGATAACTATGGGAAGGATATAGCATTTTTTAACTTAAAAAGTGTTGAATTCTGAAAATTAAGTTAATTGTCTCTATGGCATAAAATCCGTTAAGCACTTTATAAGAGCTTGTGGTTATGAACCTGGATTAAAATGATGATTCTCATAAAATGATGTCAACAGCCTCGATGGGGCCGGCCGATTGGATTTGGCCTGGGGGAATGAGAAATAGTTTAAAGTAGTTTGATTATATCAAGTTTGACTTGCATTGTCATTTTCTGTATTTCTCAGTGAACAAATATTTTTTGACTATTGTTTGAAATATCTGAATGATTTGTTTGGAATTAAATAGATTATTTTACGATCCGAGCTGAATGTTGCAACTTTCTGAATTTGTATGGATGCTACGTTCTTCAGCAATGGTCGTTTATTACAATTTTCTCCTTAAAGACGCAACAGATAGAAGTAAGATTAGTAGCGATGAAAAGCGATTATTTTTCGCCGTAAGCCTATACCCCCTTTCATTTTTCGCGAACACTCCTTTTCACAGGAGGTAAATGTGTCCCACTAAGCATTGGAATTATATAAAGTGACGGATTTGGAATCGTCTTTGCAAAGAATTTATATTATATAATCCCTGATTTCAAAAGCCATAATCTATCTTTGTCTGCTAGAGTTTATTTTTTGAAACGGTAATTTTTGCTGCAATGATGTGTCTGTAATGTCTCTGCAAGATGAACAGTGAAGACGGACATGTTTACTGTATTTGTATATTGTAATTTTCTTATTTACCTAGAGAGTGCAACCGTATGCAGTAAAAACATAAATACAATAATTGTAAACATAGCAGATAAAAATCTTACAGATAACAGCTTTCTCAATAGTTATCACTAAACTATGTCAAAAAGTTAATTTAAAAGACGATATCAAAACCGTTACTCAATTCCCAAACATTAAAAGTGACTTCAGTAATCAATTAAAGTACATAAAGACATTTATTACAGATCCACACAATGCACAAGTAGTCGAATTTTGTTATGATATTGTAGTTACGAAGTACTTGAAAAGTTTATTCGCTAAATACAAGTTAATACAATTTTTTTAGATACATTATTTTAATAAACTGTTGTCAACAGTACTTTTTATAATTTTCTAGCAAATTTTTAAAGTTAAAGCAAGAAAAATGAATGTGATGAATGTTTACAATATATATTTTGCACACGTGAAATAGACTTTTAGTACCAAGTCGACTTTTAAGCGGTATATTTAGGTGCAGTACAGTACAAAAACATACTTGTATTTAGATCAAAACAGGACATTACACCAAATTAAACATTTCTTTCAGTGAAAGGAGTTGAGTTTTTGCCACAAAGTCTGATTTTCTAATAACTATATCTTTGTAACCCAATGTCTTAGACCTGAGATATTTCAAACTAATAATACTAATAATCTAGATTTGAAATATTTCTGGTTTGCATCAAAAGATTGCAAAGAATCAGAAGATTAGTTTGTGGCAAAAACTCAATTCCTTTTTTTAGAATAAATAGATGTTTAAAATTTGCCTTTAAATCTTCAGAGCTTTTTCACAGATATTATTGCAAACAAAATGTACATTTATACCTGAGCTTAAGCGTATAGATGTTTACCTGAAAGGAGTAATTATTTCCATCGCTCATTTCCCCTTCTGGTCCAGTCAGTTTAATAAACACTGGGTAGGCTGAACAACATTTTTTTCAAAATTTAAGTATCAAATTTTTAGGTTTAAATGAAAAACAACAAATGCTAAGAATTTGGTGTGTAATTGTGTGCAGTAAAATGTTTTTTGAGAAATCAAAATTTTTAACAAATCCATCTTTATTACAGCAAGAGATTTATAGGAGAAATATCAATTTATTTTCGAAATTTAAAAGAAAAAAAATTTAAAGCTGTGCATATAATTTTAAATTGATATCAATTCTGGTTATTGAAATTGCAATTTTGAGTAGAAACATATATCAACATGTTTCTATAAATTTGTTTTCAAAATTGTAAACAGTTCTTTCTTTCAATAAAAGTTCTAATTTTTGCATTTTCAGATATATCAAATGACATGATTTGGACATTACAAATCCAGGTCCTTATTCCCTCACACCTCTCTCCTCCCCAGTTATGGCTATTTTATTGTTGTGTGCACTTAGGTACCTTCCTACGAAAGAAGTAAAAAAAAAACTTTATCTAAACAAATTATTCTAAAGGAACTCTACACTTTCCAAATTATTCTAATTTTCTAATTTTATCTTTAGCTTTTCCTCATGACGTTGTAGTCCTTTGATATTTTAAAACATAACTTTTAATTTCTGTTAAATTAAAATATCATTGGTTTACTGTTTGCTGTGTTTCAAGGTCAAAATTATTTTTCTTCCCTATCTTTAATAATCTTTGAGTTTTTTTCAGATTCAAAATAAAAATTGTTGTTTTATAAATTAAATCATCCAAGATATGAAAAGTTTGAGATATTTCCTGGAAAATCCCAAAGGACTGAAAGGAAAAGTAGAATTAAAATTATGTAGGTTGGCGCGTAGTTGACACTTCTCATATTTTCTTCTATTCAATTTTTAGAAGAAAAATGATGTCTGACAAAGGTTCCATTCAGATAATATGACAGATATGACATAAAACATGGTCTACTGCAGAACATCTGTTAATGATTTGTCGCCGATCAATGTGTGTAATGTTCATTGTGGTTTTTTAAAGTTATATATACCAATAGATATATCTTTATCTTAAAACAACCATTAGAAACAACCCTTAGATTTTACAAATTATCATTTGTCCAAGGTCAGGGCCACAAGGCTTATGATCTCCTGCGAGTAATACCAAAGGATTTGAGTCTTTTGTCACACTTTGAATTTTCTAATCCCTATATCTTTGCAATCTTATGGTGGATATCTTTGATATTTCAAACTAATGTTATTTGATCAACCCGAATTCATATATGAAATGTCTATGGTCCTTCGTCAACGACAGGTTTCATAGAAATAGGGATTACAAGAACAAAGTTTGTGACTAGGACTTACTTCCTGTAATGAACTGGAAAAAAAGTTCGTTGAACTACATACCGCCGGTTCAATTACTTCTTATGTGCTCACTGGTACAAATCCTGAACCATCGATTTTCAACAACTCTAATTTTTAAGTCGGACATCATTCGCTATAAAGGATATTTCAAAATTTATAACTTCTTAAAGGGCAGTTTAAATTACACCCTGCGAGCGACGGGCTTCCCGACGCTCTAGCACCCCGTTATAGTTCTAGTTGAACCAGCCATATAGAGTGGATCCGCCTTCGTGTAGTTCAATGACTTCTTTTAATTTATTAAATTTGATCTACTCTGATTGGTTGTATATCCGCTTACCGACCAAAAAGACGGTTAGAAAAAAGTCTGAAGTGGTATATATAACAAACATCATAAAATCAAACACAGAAAACAGATTAGTATGGTTAGAAGGAGACTTTAAACAAAATTTTAAAGATGATATTGCCTGATTCACAATGGTACCCTTGACTCCTTTACCAGTAAACAATGATTTTGTCTTCTCAAGTTAAAATTCGATATCTATGGAAATAATTTTGAAAGCGAACAAAATGAATTATGAAAGGAAAGGACAAATGGGACATAGTGTATAGGCTAGTATTGTCATCTTTGCATGAAAAAAATTTTAAATTACGATTATTGACTTTTATAAACCTTTTTTATGTGTAAAATTTGAAAACTAAAAATACTTCTTTCTCATAAAATCTGTTTGCTATAATAAGTTTGAAAAGATGGATTTCTTCATTGACAATGTTTTTAGATTTGTCAAACTTGCAAATGAAAAAATGTTTTATTGAATTCCCCCCCCCCCCTAAATATTTATTTGATCAAAATAGCCCGCCGGGATATGTTAAAGGAATGAATGCTTTCTTGAAACTGTAAAACTTTTTTTAAAGTTAAAGTTTAAGAGTAATTAAATTACGTAGGTTACGTTGAACAACTTCTTGTGCACTGATTCAAGTTTAATAAAATGGGATCAATTCAGTCTACAATGGTTCAACTCATTCTTTCTATTCATTAAATGTAGTTCAAGGTTGCAAAGATATATAAATTCGGAATTTAGTTGGATTTCCCAAAACTTGTTGGCTTCCTCTGTCAAAAACAGGGGTCGGGCCGGCGGAGTTGGGGGGGGGTTGGAGGGGGGCGGAAGCTCTTTATTGTTAAAATTCTTAAAAAGTCAATCCATTGTTTTTAAAAATCTATTAAGGATTACATTCTTAAAAAAAGGAACTAAATATTTGCCACAAACTCAAATTTTGTAATCCTTATATCTTTGCAACCTGATGGTGTAAACCTTTGATATTTCAAACTAAGATTATTCATACTAACAGAATTCATAGTTTCGAATATCTATAATTTACAAAACCACTTACTGAACATGTTGAGAAGAATGGGAAGGGTGAGAGGAGTAGAAATATTGTTGTTAGAAGCCTAAAAAAGAGTTAATTTATAATCTAAAAGTCAAATTAATCTTAGGAACATGAAGACAGCTATTAAGCCTCATGCAACTCCGAAATAGAAAGGTTTGATTTTATAAAGTAAAATTAGTATAAAATATTGCAATTGTGCAGTGTACAAAGACCCATTTCACTGAAAAGGTTGATTTTCAACAGTTTTTAAACCATATAAGGATTTCTTAAATAATGTCTTCATATTCCAAAGTGTCGCGTATTCTACTCTTAAAAAAGTGTCATTTACAGTGTAAATTCGTTGAGTACATCACAAATGTTGTCTATTAATTAAATTATTCTTAGAATTTAATGTTCATCTATAAAAATGTGTTTAAACATCGTTCACTAGCTAGCACCCCTGGTCCAACCAGGGCAAGATGCATTCGGTTCGTTTTTTTCATTTAATCGCATTTTGATCTATAACTAAACAATATTTAAAATTACAGATTTAATTTTTTCATACTTTTTAATCGAAAAGGTATATGCCGACAAAAATGTTTTTAGGGGAAAATGCGAAAAATGTATTTTTAAAAGATCAAATCGTGATCGAAAGTTAAAGCATGATGGGATAAGGACCGAATTGTAAAATTGTAAATTGTAATATGTTGATTACCTGACAAGTCAGATTCCGGCCAGCCCATTCTCTTGGTAAATGTGGAACTGTCAGATGGTTGAAAACAGCTCCATCTTGTTCCTACAATATTCAAGATTTATCTTGGGATCGAATATAATGGATTGGCGGCGTCGCTGAACTGAACCTATCGCCGGTTCAAATTTGAATCACCGATAAAAATCCTTCCAGAATCTTTAACCTTTAACGGTGGTTCAAATTTGAACCGGCAGCATGTTCGTAGTTCAACGATGTAGCTCAAATTCATTAAATTCTGTCTCTGGTACAGTGTAGCCCAGTTATGATTGTAGTCCAATGAACAAATGTGTACATTTTGTAAACACACAGGCACATATCCATTGTACTCCTGAATTTGAAGTTCAAGACACTTTTTGGTCAGACGTTCTGTTAAAAACAATCCCTTGAAACATTTAACCCTTTCCCTGCTGGGGTACTTGAAAACCAGGATATGCTGGGGGGGGGGACAATTTCCCCCCCCCTCTAAATCCCATGTTTTATGTCCAAATATGACAAATGATACATCATTAGAAAGCTCTTGTGCTCTCAAATGCAAATTTTCAAAAATTGAATTTTTTATCGCAAAATCCAGTTATATAGTAAAATGTTTGCAAAAAAAAATTTGTCCAAAAAATGAAAAATTATACATTTTTGAAAAGCCCTTGACCATGTTATTTAAAATATGCAAAAAATTTTGCAAAATTTTAAATAACCTGATTTTTAATCAAGAAAAACTAAAAATGTGCAAATTTCCTTTGACAGGTTGTTTGCAAAAAATTTGCAATTTTTTTTCGCAAAACTTGTGCAATCCGTTTCCTTATGTCATAGGCTTTCCAAAAAGCTAAATTTTATCAAAATCTGACAAGTGAAAGTGGGTCAAAACAAAGATTTAGTTTGTTACAGGCAAAAGCATTCATTCAGGCAGTGTGCCTGAGGACTCAGGAAGTTAGTATTAAAGCCCGGTTTTTGGCCTAAAAGGAGGGCTTTGGGAATGTAAGAAAAGTCAGGAAATTCCAACAGCCTCAGACCAATACTTTTTGAGTTATGTAAAAAAAACTACAGGGGGTGGGGGTCAAATTGATCCCCCCCCAGCAGGAATAGGGTTAAAGTCTAGATGTTAAACAAAATAAGATCAAAGCCAGCAGCGACATTTCAAAGTCTTAAAGCTTGAAAATTTGCCTTAAGTCTTATTTTTAAGAAATTAAAAAATGCAAAGTCGAGTCTGAATTCTCATCATTAATGAGCCGTTTGTGAGTTACTTTTTTACTTATTAATCAGCAAAGCGTTTTTGCACCACAAACTGAACCAATATTGAAAATATATTGTTATATATTTATATTTGTAGTTTTGCTTCACAAACTGAACCAATATTGAAAATATATTGTTATATATTTATATTAGTAGTTTTGCACCACAAACTGAACCAATATTGAAAATATATTGTTATATATTTATATTAGTAGTTTTGCACCACAAACTGAACCAATATTGAAAATATATTGTTATATATTTATATTAGTAGTAAACAACTTAGTTAAAGCAAAAATGTCTATTGTGTATTGTTGTTTATTTTATTCAGGGAACATTAGTTCCAAAATCGAAGGGACATCAGTTTTGGAATGAAAAGCAACACTACTTTACTTACTACTTTATAGGTCTTCAATCTTGAAAAACTTAATAAAATTTAATTTTTGCCGCGGCTTAAATTTAAGCTGCGGCTCAAATTCTTTAAATTCGGCCTCTGTACGTGTAATTAAGTTCAAGTTACCCTCGATGCAAGTACGGCAAATGGCAATGTCCAATTTACAACGTTACCAAAACTTTAATCTGAATAATAATGCGGAAGATATAGCGTCGTTTTTCTAACTCGAAAAGAGTTTATTTCCGATAATTTCTTCATTGCTTCTTACGACCGAGAAATGCGCAAGTAATTTCTGCAAAGAAATCACATTGAAAATGAAAAAAGTGAAATCTAAATCATACATTTATTAAAGGGTACCATAGTAAATCGGGCATGAACATCTTTGTATAGAGGGTCACTTGAAATTAAGAATACAAAACCGGTTTGAATCTTGAAACAATCAAATTGCTCCTCTGGTGTTTTTTAAGATAACTTAAGACTAAATTTTTATCTGTTTTTTTACAAATAAGATTCTACATAATGTAAGATATCTATTGAATTTAAAGCAAGTGTTTAATTCTGGCCACGGTATATAAGGAGTTCTTGTCAAAATCCGGTTCTATTTTTGATTCAGATTTGATTCTATGAAATTGTTATTATGATAAATTTACAAAATTGGAAAAGCTGTAATTAAAAAATGGGCTTGCAATATATTACATTATTTTGAAATTATAATTTTTAAAAAAAATTTTATTTCCCTCCAAGCCGGGACTATAAAGTACCTGGTAACTATCATCAACTATATCTTTTCCTATAAACCAGACAAGGCGAGGCAACGGGTTCCCTGAATAATTTTTTTTAGTAGTTTCTATTATTATCAAATGCCCATTTTTTTTGTAAAGGAATATTGAGTCTTTGCCCAATGTTTCAATCAAAAGATCTAATAATCTAAGTTTAAAATATCAAACCATCAGATTGCAAAGATAGGGGGGTTAGAAGGTTTGAGTTTGTGACAGAAAGACTCAATTTTAAACCTAAACCATGTTATTGACTGTACAAAATTGACTGTACAAAATTGCTCGCACAAAATTGAATGTATCATTGATTGTACAAAATTGACTGTACCAAATTGACTGTACAAAATTGACTGTACCAAAATGACTGAACAAAATTGACTGTATCATTGATTGTACTCTCGACTTTAACCTTGTTTGTATCCTTGACTAAACCCTTGACTCTACCTTGTTTCTATCCTTGACAGTATCCTTGACTGTACCCTTGACTATACCCTTGACAGTACCCTTGTTTCTATCCTTGATAGTACCCTTGATTGTGCCCTTGACTGTACCCTTGACTGTACCCTTGACAGTACCCTAGTTTCTATCCTTGACTGTACCCTTGACTGTGCCCTTGACTGTACCCTTGACTGTACCCTTGACTGTACCCTTTATTGTACCCTTGACTGTACCCTTGACTGTACTCTAGACTGTACCCTTGACTGTACCCTTGACTGTACCCTTGACTGTACCCTTTACTGTACCCTTGACTGTACCCTTGACTATACCTTTGTTTCTATCCTTGAGTATCTTAAGTTGTGTTAGTTGTGCTAGTTATGCATTTAAGAAATCCCCAACCACCCAATTTATATCGGGTATACCCCTTGATTCTACCATGAATGTATCCTTGACTGTACTATTGACTGTACCATTAACTAAACTATTGACTGTAATCTTGACTGTACCATTGATTGTACCATTTATTGTACTTGTGACTGTACTCTTTTCTGAACCGTAGATTGTACCTTTGACTGTACTCTTGGCTGTATCATTGATTCTACCATGAATGTATCATTGACTGTACTATTGACAGTACCATTAACTAAACTATTGACTGTACCTTTGACTGTACTCTTGACTGTACCATGAACTGAACCATTGAATTTACCATTGACAGTACCCTTGACTGTACTCTTGAATGTACCATTGACTGTACCATTTACTGAACTTATGACTGTACCTTTGACTGTACTCTTGACTGTACCATTGATTGTACCTTTACTGTATCCTTGACTGTACCTTTGACTGTACCCTTGACTTTACCCTTGACTGTACCCTTAACTGTACCATTGATTGTACCCTTGACTGTACCCTTGACTTTACCCTTGACTGTGCCCTTGACTGTACCTTTAACTGTACCATTGATTGTACCTTAAATGTATCCTTGACTGTATCATTGACTGTACCCTTGTGTGTGCCATTGATTAAACCTTGACTGTACCCTTGACTGTACCCTTGCTTTTGTAACTTGACTGTATCATTTAATTTACCCATTTGACTCTAAATTGACTGTACATTGGCTGTAATATTAACTGTGCCATACTGATTGACTGTACGTTGACTGTACCCCCTGACTGTAACATTGGCTGTACCCTTGACTGTACCCTTGACTTAAAACATTGACTGTACCCTTGATTGTACCCTTGACTGTACCCTTGACTTAAAACATTGACTGTGCCCTTGACTGTCCTTTTGCTGTACCTGTGTTTGTAGTACAACTGGCTGAGTACGGTGTATTCTCTTTAACTGGTTGCAGTACAGTATACTCTGTAATACTTCGTTGTTCTTCATGTAGATACAACGCCAGGCTAGTCGGGGGAACTAAACAAAACAAACAACATGAATTATTGCAATTTTAAGTAAGTGTAGTGTCTTGACTGTACAATCTTCTTGGAATTTTCAAACACTTCCAGACAACCCTGGGTTCCCAAGCCGATTTAAAGTTCTGAAAGTTCTAAAAACTTTTTACTACATGTTTCTTTTCATCGCTTGGGTCACCTTAAGATTGTGTAGAACACCTTATTTTTACTCACCATCCACCCCATCCCTTCCCCCCTCCACACCATGAACTTCAAACGACAATAGAGCCGATTAACTAGAGAAATCTTTTCCTTTTTAAGCCTTTAATTGACTTTTGGGAATATGCTTTTTGTAGAAAATGCTCTTGGGAGTTTGTTGCATGAGAAATTGCACCAGAAACATTTGTAAAACTATTTTACACTTTCTGCGTGTTTTCAAATTTGTCCATATTAGATTTAGATTGCGACATTCATTATGTAAACTGATTTTAGCAATATTTTTAATGAAATAATTATCAAAAAATAGCCCTAATCATAGAAGAATAATAGAAGTACACTTTAAATTACGTTAACCCTATCACAACCGGGGCCCCGGGGGGGAATGTTTTTCACCCTCCCCCCCTGCCCTCCTGTGGTTTTTTATAATTAACTTAATAACTGCGTACATTGGAACGCAAAAACATCTTCACTTTTTCAATTTTAAAGTTGTGTAAAAAAAAAAATTAAATATATTTTTTTTGATTCATATGGTAAGAGTAGAGGACGTTCAATTACAGAGGGTTGGTGTTTGAAAAAAATCATAAATGGTTAATTACTTTTTAATTGATTAAACAGGGCTAACATTTACATATTTATTTAAAAAGCACTTGAAAAATGAAATATGTGTCGTATAGTCAAAAGTAAAAAATTAACATTTTTCTAACGTACTTTTTGAACTTTTTAAAAATCCCCCCTTGCACCCTAAACATCATTATAGGTCTAAATTTTTAAACAAGAGAAGGTCTTGAAAAGTTTAACTATATGGACATGTATCAAACTCCCTTAAGTCCATATTGGACAAAAATAGCCCAATCAGAATTAGGTTTTATTTTAACAATTTTTTATACAGCTTGCACCATTAAAAAACTGTATTTTGCTAGTGCTTGCTTTTATTAGATTTTGTAATATTCTTATCCTAAGAAATCGAAAATGAACCAAAAACGATTGTATTAACAACACATTAGAGTTTGGGTCTTTTTTGATCTTTTTTGAATATAATTTCTGGCAGGGCCAAAGTTATGCATAGTGTAAGAAAAGAATGAATAACTTTTAGAAACTTTTGTTTTCTAAAATTCTGTCAATTTTGAACCTTAGGGTAAATATAAACAAAAAACGAATGAAAAAACAAAGATGTGAAACATTCGCTATGAGTCACATGCTTCGGTATTTTTAAAACCGAATAAAATTAAATCCAACTTGTATTTTCTCAACAATGACAATGTCTTGTTCGAAGGAAATGGAGTTGCAGTATTTAATACAAATCTAGAATTAAATCTAAAGTTAATCTGTATAATTAGTATAATATTAGTTATAATGCAACCTTCCAATACCAAAGCGTTGTCAAGGTTCATATAAAACGTACATGGTTTTTAACCAGATATTAACTAGTGCTACGCACGCTAGGCACGTTCGGAAAGGAAATCTATTCGACATTTTAATGTTCTTATACAGACCGTTCCATATCATATATCTCCAAGGTTTAACGCTTAAATAAATTGAAAAACCCAAATTTGTGTACACTTATATATTTTTTTAATTGATTTAATCTTTCTAGATGCTATGAATAGTCCCAACAATTGCAATTTAACGATCCGAAATGATGTGGGACATCCTGTACATAAGTTTGCACAATAAACTTTTATTCCTACACGAAAATGTAAATGAATAAGACTATAAAAAAAGGCAATTTCATGCGAAAAAACACTTTTCGGTTTCGCCCCCAACCTGACATAATGAAAAACTTTTACTTAGGTCAACGATATTTTTAGATAAGATAAATTGTTTCAGTTAATATCTTTTGTCAAAGAAATTATTTTCCTTAAACTTTTCAAGAAAAACATTTTAAATCAAGATTTTTGTGGAATTGTTTTAAAGCAAAAATACCTTGAATGTTTAAAAACAGATGACGATCTTTGTTGTATAAAATTTTAAAATTTTATACAGCAAACCTTATAGATTGAAAAATCAGACGTCTGCACATCATCAGAGATAAAACTTTAGAATTTTTAATCCGCTCTTGTTGGATATATCATTTCTACTACATGTAATACGATGCTATATTAATTGGACTAATATTCGATTGGACTAAAGTCAGCTGTTCACATGCCGGCTTTTAAAGCATTTAAACCAGGGAACAGGAATATAGGGAAAGGAAATGGCGCTGGTCCGGCATGAGAAAGCCAGTCGCACTGCTTTGCAGACCAGTACAGTAAACTTACAAACACTCTTCTGGTACAGACACACAACACGACTACAGTCAAGGAAATTGTAGAACAATGTCGTCGATTATAATTAAACTTGAATAACGAGTAGTTTATTGCAAACTTTAATCAAATTGTATTCTTTGCGTGAAAATTTGGCTTAACAGTGTTGACTTAAATATGTAAATAATATATTACATGTATATTAAACTTATTTCTAAGTAAACAATTAACAAAAAACAAATGTACTCTCCTAGGCTGTACTAATACCGAGATTCTTACGTACTGTATAAACCTACGTAGTACACACCTTCGGTACTTTAAACTGACACACACTCTTTTGGTACAGACACACGCACATGACGTTTCCGCCCCCTGATTTAAACAAATATAACTTGATCATGTTAATATGAACTTATTAAAATCATATTTTATCACATTTAAGGACTATAGTTCTTTTAACATTAGTCTCAATAAACATTAATCAAAAACTTATGTTCGTTCAATTGTCCAATTGTCCAATTGGTATGACACACCAAATATGACACACCAAATGCGGCAGAATTTTCAAAAGTTGAAATATATAAGAATGAATAAATCGAGGTCAAATTAAATAAATTAAAATTTAGGGATTGAGGCAAGTATTCAGAGCTAAGAGCTCTTGTATTGTGAATATCGAAATCAATGCTTGATCTCTATATTAGGTTAATCTGCAGATTAATTTAATCTTTATTTGATATTCCGCATGGTTATCGTTGCCAGTTTTGATCATGGGAGAAATAACTAAAAAGAAGATATGGAAATTATAGTTTTAGAAGGATTCCTTTAATACAGATACTTTTTAAAAGTTTATGTCAAGATTAAGTGATAGGAATTGTGAGCATCAAACTCAAAAATTCCCAGGTGAGTTTCCTTATGGGTAGTTCACGTGGATTTAACAGTTCTGTCAATATTCCAGAAAGCTGTGAATTTCGATCACAATTTGACCCATTAAACATATTATTTTAGCCTTTTCTCTTTTCTTAAATACTTTTTTGTCAGCATATACATTTTAAAAGAAAAATATACCAAAATCCGTTTGATTTCAAATAGAAGAAAACGAAAGCTGTTCACTCTGGTTAGTGGTAAGTCCAGGGCAAGGATGTAATGCAAGGAAAGTTATTTCAGAAGTGTACGCATCTTTTGTACTGCATGCAGTGTACTGTCTCTGGGCGGTAATGTAAACACAAGACGGATGTCAAAGCCTGACATGGGATCCATCTTCTACATTAAAAAATCAATGAAATATTCTGGTCATAGGAAACTATTATGTGAATTATCAAAATTATCAAAATATAATGCTTTTAACCTCCTCGGATACTAAACGAACACTGATGCATCTATTCTTGTTTATCAATTCCGCTTAGAGAGAACTGGTTTCAATGTATGTACTTAGAGTATACGGAACTGCAATTAACTTTTCTTGCATTACAACCTTGGTCCAGGTTGAGTTTGTACATTAAAGATAGAAAAGTTAGATTCTATAATGGTTAAATACTAAATTATTCTACATCAGTCTTAGTCTTAAAGTATATTAAGAATTAACTACACACAATTAATCCTAATCAGATTCAGGGAGGGGGTATTCATAGTTTGAAATATCTAAGGTCTATGACATTTAAATCCAAAGATATAGGGTTTAGAAAAGCAGAGTTTGTGGCAAAGACTCAATTCCTTTGAAAAAAAGCTAGAAGTAGAAGGAAAAAAGAAAACATGAAGTATGAAAATCTATTTTACTAGTAGGCTTTCAGGGCGCTTGGCGCCTATCTTCTATTTCAATTGTGAACATTTTCTTTTTGTAAGAAAGAGTTTGCGCATTCATAAATTTAATAAAAGTCGAATTTTGTTTCAGGCCGATTTTTTCGAAATTTTGATTATCCATAAACCTTCCCTGAGGTCATGTATAGTTCCCGTTTAGCCATTTTGACGTTTATTGGAAACAAACATCCTGTACAGACAGAGAAGCAAATTATATAATATTAGGTTTGCACTGGTTCGCACCCATCTTTTATGTATATTGTGAACATGTTCTCTTTGTATACATTGTAAAAAAAAAAAAAAATTTCGTGGATTTTAAAAATTTTCAAAATCGAAATTTGTTAGAGGCAAATTTTCGAAAATTCGATAATTCTTATATACCTTCCACGGTATCACGCGAGGTCCTACAAAAAATGTGGTTCCATTCAGTTCAGCCGTTTTGACGTTTATTGGATACAAACAAACAGACAGTCAAGAAAAGTATATATATAATACTAGCTGAAGGGCCCGGCCTTGCCTGTGAAATATTTTTTTTGAATTAAAAAATGTTGAAAAAAAATTCGTTTTGTTTTAGCCTAAGACACCCCATGGCCACCCATGAGAGTCCACCAAAAATGTAAGCCCATTCGGTCCAGCCGTTTGGTCGGCTATACGCAGCATATATATGATTGTCTTGTTTTATTATATTGACATAGTATCATGGGTTCCCCACAAAGGATGAACCTTCAAAGACGACTGTATGAAATTCATACCGTCTGCTTCCTTATATTTAGGATTCTCTGCAACTAGATATTAAATT